TAGGCTTTTTGGTACATGTTCAGAAAATTGGAGGTATACCCTTCTTTATGTCCTTCCAATGTAAGTGTTCCCTCGGATACATGTAAATTTGTATATACAGTTGTAGTTAACATGAGAAGGATATCTGTCGATTTTTGATTGAACCAAAGAGCAAGTTGTTTAACAGACAGGAACCAGTTGAGCTGTAGGGTAGGCTCTGCCTAGCGACTTCCTCAGTCTTCTGTTGACAATTGCTGTAATGTTTTCACTTTTAAAATCAAGTTGAATGTAGATGGGCTTATTTTCTACTGTGAATTACTTGATATTTGAGCCTTCAGATCTTCCATCCTTGTTGATGAATCTTTAAGGGTAACCGTTGCTTTTCAGCACCTTGTCAAGAAACATAAATTCTTCTTCTAATTTCTCTATAGAGCCTAATCTTCTAGCTCTATAGTTTACAGTTTTGACTAGTCCTCGTTTAAAGCTAGTTGGATTAAAATTATTAAAATATAGTTGTTGTACTTTCCATGTAGGCTTTCGGTAAATTGTTTATCATTATTATTGTATGCATGTATTGATTGATTGAATTTTGTTTAAAATTGAACTGTCTGTGCAAGTATGTTAAGATTGTTTTTGTAGATATATTTAGTAATAACTTTGGCCTGTAAGCAGCAGAGCTGATGAGAAGCCAACGAAATAAGCACTGATTGTACCACTTTATTCTGCAAAAATCGCTGTTATATTGCTTTATTCAAATGTCGATATAGCTAATAATTGAAATTATAGATGAAAAACAAATTGTGCAGTTTGTCAACTTGTGCATCTTACTCATTCTTCTTTAGTGTTCAAGCCTTGCTTATTCTTTCCTGGATTGCTTAAAAAAGACAGTGTCATACTATACTTCGTAGAACTCTGAAGACTGACTGTCAGTAGGGTGAGTGGTATCCCATTGGGCCATATTGTTGACATTGTCACGGATAGGCACTTGATGTCATGTAACAAATTTTGCTAAAGGAATTTTGTCAGACTGTGAGCATCCACCACAGCACCCGCAGCTCCAGCCTTGTGTCTCCTCAGGTAAAACAAGAAGTCTTTTCAGAAGACTTTATGCACGTACGTCTAAGTATAAAAATTCCACTATACCAACCAGATTGGGAGCGTACTTCATGTGATGAAAATAGTGTTAGGCTTGAACTAATTGACTTTCTTTGCACTACTAAATAAACCATTTCCTCCACCCTTACAGCATCAAACTTTATCGTTATTGTATTTCTTATATTCATAATCCTCTCAATTTTTTGTTTTTATTTATTTATTTTTCATAAGTGTGAACATTGTTTAAGCTGTGTTAGCACTGCTGATCTTGTATTTTCCCTCACTATACTATATCAACAGAACATTAGATTCAATACTCTATGATAACATGCTAAAGTTTCCAAACTGAATGGACAATGCTGTTTGAAACAAACTCACTGTTATTATTATTATGATGATTATAATATTTAATGATCTCAATTCGTGCTTCGAATATTTTTGACTTTATATCATAAATGTGGACAAATTCCTCTAGTTAATTTTATTTATATTTTGAGTAAATCAGATGCAATATTGTGACAAATGCTGAGAATTCCATTCCGTATTATAAGTACCGTTTTTGGAATGAAGTAGATTATTATTATTATTAAAAACTGTTGTTGATTTCTATAGGGAGAGAGGCGATGAAAAAATAATCATAGGGGGTTATTTTTCATTTCAGGTGGGACAGTAATGTGTGTCAGGCGATTTACTGTCAGTCATTAATTTACTTCCAGGTTGTGGACAAAGGGAAGCTATTAGGCAATAATTTCCACCGAAAATTCTGTACATTATATAAACACTTTAGAATAAAGCTGTTATTGATTTTTTTTATTAGAGCTTGATTTCACACTGTATTTTTGGTACAAATATGGAATTTTCAGCATGTGATATCGATAGCCCAAATTTTGCAGGCCAACTATCAGGTGTGCGTCGGCAGGGGATCGAATTTCGAACCATGTGCATGGTCGGCGAGAGTCCTAACCATTGTGCCACCGTTAAGGATAGCACTTAGAAGGTTTCTGTATGCGCAGCCTTGTACTACATCTGTGAAATTTATCCGATTATTAGATGAGGGTGTTTTCGGACTCTGTGTCCGATCATGTCTTTGTAAGATTGATTGTTTATATACCTCGTCAAAAATTCTGTAATTATGATTCCCAATGCCTAAAATCATCAGTTACTGTGTGTTGTCATTGAATAACACTAGCCTCAGTGATTTAGGTGGGTTTTAAGAATGTCATGCCGATGGCTTCAATAATACTCAATGTTTGCTGACAGTGTGACTGATTTGTCACAGCAGATATTGAGATCAATAGCGAACATGCTGTAAATTCACTTCATGTTCCTATTTTTTCTGGACAGTAGTGTGAAGTATCACTCGATCGTTTGAATACGTTCCATAGATATGTTTATCTGCTTTATTCAGTTTCTCCACTACCTATTCTTGTTTTTTTTTTGTATAGCTTGAACGTATCACCGAACACTTACCAACATGGTTTTACAAAGCAGCTCCATCTTAGAACATTTGATAGATTCCGGACACCAAGCTACACCGCAAACAAACTTCAAAGTCGTCTACAGAGTAAAAAGTAGTCTTCCTAAAGGTGTACGAATCAGACTTCTTCAAACTGCAGAAGCGATGACGATTCACTTACTAAGTCCTGAACTCTGCATACAGAAGTTTGTTCAATCACTACACTTGCAATGGACATAATCTATCTTATTACCCGACAAGTAAATTCTACCTAATCTCTTTTTTTCTGTCTCTTCATTAGTATTATTTTGTCTCCTCAATTGAAATATATTTTACATTTTCAACTTTCTTGTTCTCTACCCCCACCCGATTTCATTTCTACACCTCACTTCTACTGTTGCTGAATTGACCGACGCTCAATTTCTAGTCACTCATTTATGTTACGTCATCCAACTTATTTGCTCAATTTCAGTTCTAATTTAAATGGCATTATTCTCTACCCCACTTCTACTTAGTCTCTACTTGTAATTACCTCTGTTGCCACCCTGACTTAAGTTGAAACATTTTAGTCAATTATATTACGTCGTCGAACTTAGGAACCCAATCTTACTTTAGTTGCTGTCTGATTAACCTTGTTTCCATATTAGATCATTCTTTTATTACGTGATCAGTTATCTAAACTTGACAAACCTCATGTATATGCACACATACACACAAATAATTACATATAAATGGGATTGTACAGCTATGTGAATGAATTCGCCTAAAAAAGTCTCTTCGCTGAAGGTCTTCTCTTTTTTTGTATGTTGTTATTGCTCTGGTGTCCAGAAATTTAACCAAGTTTGTTTTTAAAATTAAAACAACAATAAATAATGCTTATTATGAATAAAATGCGTCAGTCTAATATGGTTCTCAATTCTTTAAATATTTCCATTTATAATATTAGAACAAGACATATAAGCGAACAATATTGTTTGCAATTAGATGTTCTTCAGGCTTTACTCTAATTTACATAGACTTATATATATATATATATATAAAATTTTAACCAATAACGGTGATTTTGTGGATCAAATAATAATAATGTGGTAAATTTAAATTGCAGGAAAGCTTCTCCCGGACATTCACAATCACATTTTGGTCTTGCACCACCGTCATGGCTTACAGGAATGAATTATATTTGACAGCAGCAGACCATTCACCTAGCAGATATCCCAAGAATTTGGTAAGACAAATGGCATACAATATGGGTGGATGCCACCTTGCCACCCTGAGTCGAACGGCCAGGCAGAATTTATGGAGCTTTACTGATGGCAGAAGTCAGGGTCCACGGATGACTCCAAAGGATTCACCCCCCCTCCCGATTTAACAGGCAATGTGAATGCGTTTCAAACAGAGAGGATGCGAAAGAGAAACGTTTGGTGGGGAATGTGGTATACTGTTCAACCAAAACCGGTATCTCAACTATCAGAATGGTCCTGATCAACAAGGTCAGAGACGGTATTGTAGGTAAGATCGATTAGTAACTGTTGACTACGTTGTTGGGTGTAACAAACAACTCAACGTTTGGCAAAATTTAATCAGGGAATGAGGTTAGCAAACCCACCCCTCAAAGCTCATGCTTGAAGCCCTATGTTCCACTAGGAACACAAAGGGATTAAAATACGAAAAGGAGGAAGAATTATGAATAGAAGAAGTAGAGAAACGCAGATAGTACTGTAAACACACAGACCACCTTTTGAATCTGTGTGGATACTTTACTAGAAAACAACAAGCCACAAAGGTCTCATTATGATTGTGTTCAATGGTAAACACTGTAAGATGAATCCTCTCGTAGGGACGATCAGTCTGGAAGGTAAGCTACCATAACTCAAAAAACGTCACCTAATGATATCACGGGTGATGAATTAAAAGAAGAGTCCCAAACTAGGCAGACGAAACAGCTGTCCAGTACTCCCAGGTTTTCCAGTGGTTCTCTAACTGATGTCAGCTCATAATGAAGTCAGTCCTCCATGCAATCAAACAAAATCTCTACAAAACCAATACTTGAAAATTAATCTGTTGCTGACTAGTGACTGGCCCTATTCAGGCAGTTAACCTGAGGTTCTAGTGGGAAACCGTGATCAGTAGGTACCGTACAGCAGGTTGAAGATGAGGTAGTAACTCATCGAAGAAGACATTGCGAAGTGGTCACGCTATATCATGAAATGGCAGAAGTTAGAATTCAAGGACCATTGGATCGGGTCCTAGTGGCTCAATGGTCTACGAGCTCGCCAGCCTTGTGACCGGGAAGGTCCTGGGTTCGAAACCCGTTGGGTATGTACTGTTGAAGAATCCCAAACTAGGACGAAACAACTGTCCAGTACTCCCAGGTTTTCCAGTGGTTCTCTAACTGATGTCAGCTCATGGTGAAATCCTCCATGTAATCAAACAAAATCCCTACAAAACCAATACTTGAAAAAAGGCATACTCGAGCTTTAACTCTTTTTATTATTATTACAGCAAAATAATAACTTCTGAAAATTTACACAGCCGAAAAAAAAGAAGGAAGAACAGAACCATGAGAGACAAACAGACGGATGATAGACGGACACACACAGATGTTGATAGTGAGTGTGTGTCTGTCTGTAGAATTGTGCACAGAAGCCATTCAATCAACCAACCAACCAATCGACATCTTGTCATTTACCCCCAGGAAATGTAATAAATAAATATAAAAACAAAACAAATAAAGATGCAAAAAAAGAGGAGAAAATGGTTACCAAACTGAATTTTTAGCATAAGAATGTTGAAAACAAACGAAATACTCGAATAGGCGATTTAAACTTAATTCAATCACTGGTCCATAATCGCCATTACACCGAAAAGGATTAAGCGAAGCGGACAAAAACGCGAACTGTCGTCGGTGATTATCCTCCTTATCAGCAGTTAAGAAAACGTTAAATAAAATAATAATAATAATAATGATTAGGCTAAATATAATGAACAAAGACAAAAAGAGTAAAAGATATTTATTGAATGATTTCCGGTTAGTGTATGCTGTTAAACTATGCGACGGATTATCATATTCATAATGAGTGCTGGGAGGAGTAGTAGTAGTAGTAGAAGTTATCGAAGAGTAGGTTGAAGAAGGCGAAGTTGTAGAAAGCTGCACACAGGATTGATCAGCAGTTGTAGCCTGAAGAAGGCAATCGTCTATAGTAGACACTAGTTCACATACAACTGGACTACTACTGCCACTATCAATTCTTTCATCATCATTGTGATTGTCTTCAATATAATAACTTGAAGAATGAATTAACTTGTGCTTTTGAGCAGCATAGGATACTTCTTTTTTAAATGTAAGCATATTGGATGACTTTTTCAACATAGCTGATTCTAGACTACGAATTGCGTTTAGCACTTGTTGACGAAGTGTACATAACAATTGGATTTGATTAGAAATTGCATAATTGATTGAGAGATTTCGATTGAATGCATCATTTCTATCCCCTTGATTGCGTAAGCTTTGATGATCAGCGTCATCATCATCATCACCAAGGTGTTGTTGTGGTTGATGAGGCATTTTTGAATGATGAAATGAAAATCTCCAGAAATCGTCAAATAGATAACATGAACCCAAACGTGATTGAATGCTCCACAAGTTCTCGTTTAAATTCTAAAGTTTAAAATACGCATTACAAAAAAACGAAAGCATAATTTTTAACTTGAAACATGTTATACTTTGAGAATTACGGCATATTTTCCAATTCTGTAACACAAAATGTGGTAATCTATAAAGATGCTATTCAAGTGTTGGTTTCTAGGGATTTGATTGGTTACAGGATTTCATCATGAGCTGACATTAGTTAGGGAACCATTAGAAAACCTGGGAGTACTGGACAGCTGTTTCGTCTACCTAGTTCGGGACTTTTCAGTAGTACACACCCACCGGTACTCCCAGGTTTTCCAATAGTTCTCTAACTAATGTCAACTGATGATGAAATCCTGTAACCAATCAAATCCCTAAAAACCAACACTTGAATATCAATGACATGCTCATTAGCGACTTACCCTATATTCAGGTAGGTAGTTCAAGTGAGAAGAAGTGACCAGTAGGGTGCAGCGCATCGGGTGTGACGACGAATACTTACCACCGATGACAATGGCTAGTGGTCGCGCTAAGTCATGAATTGGTAGAAGTTAGAATTCATAGGCAGGGCATTGGATCGGATCCCAGTGGCTTAATGGTATACGAGCTCACCTTGTAACCAGAAGGTCCTGGGTTCGAATCCCGGTGAGGGCGTACTACTGAAGACCCTCAAACTAGGACGAAACAGCTGTCCAGTACTCTCAGGTGTTCCAGTGGTTCTCTAACCTATATATATATATATATATAGTTGTCGAGTGACTTCTGACGTCATTAACCGACAATGCTTCTTAACTGTATGTATCAAATATGAAATCATTATCCTTCCGTATTAACCAAAAACTGTCACTTCAACTCAACTCCTGTTGAGTAATACTGAGGTTAGGTGTAGAATGTTATGTAGGGGGGAATCGATCAGGTTGTGAAACTACATCGATTCCGATAGGCTATGACATGTATTGAGTATGCCTCAGTCATCACATTCCACAACAGGCAATGTTAGCCTAGTAGAAGCACAAGGTAAGGTAAGGAAGCCAAGGTAGATTTTCCAGTAATCAAACAGCTATTTATATCTATACAGTTTTATATTCTTTATAAATTTTGATAGCGTTATTAGAAGATGGAGATTATCTGAAAAATATGATGTATTTGCACTTTACGTTTAGAATAATCTGATCCCCCACACATTTACTTGTCAAGTCAATATATATATATATATATATATATATGAAAATGTTAAATTAAACAAAGTGACAAAAAAGGATTTAAGAATAATTAACACTACGTTTGGTAATCAAATCAAATAAGGATTACCTAGGTAGGTTAAGAGTAATAACAAACTGTTTTTGAATATACAAGGGGGAGGGGCTTAAGTTTATGAATAGCTATAGCCTCGGCGTATTTCAATAAGCGCCCTTGACCGTTTTTATTTATGACCTTAAAGGTTGTGTTAACATCAATCTTACGGTTCATCTCGAGTGGAACCCGAAAGGGAAGCGGTGAGTTGGTCGTCAGTGCGAGGGTGACTTGGAGGAGGTCATGTGAGGAGGAGATGAAAGCATGTGGGCAGACCTGGAGGGGAGTGGAAAAGTTGGCAGAAAACCGAAGGCAATGGAGGTGCTCAGCTGAAGCCCTATGTTCCTCTAGGAATTAAACGATATAATGATAATAATATTGTCAATAACTACTACTCTAGAATATTTTATGTATATAAACATATACATAATTGTAGAGCCAGAAGAGGAAATTATCGAAAAGGATATTCTTTGCTCAATTATTTTGTGTTTTATAAATTTATAACACACGACTTAAGCAAGCGAATACGTGTTTTCGGTAAATTCTCATCAAGTGTCACAGTTACAACGATTAAAAATACCAGTCGTAGACACTTGAAACAATGTGAATCAAGAGAACCAAGTGTAATCAAGGAGTTTGTAAGCATCATAATAATAATAATAGCTGGGATAATTATTCTTGGTCGTGGTTGAAAGCCATGGGAGAGAGAGGAACTGAACAAACTTTCTTTAAACACAAAAATTCGGCTGAAGAACTGCATTGGCAACTGCTTCATTAATGCTTAGCAATCTGAGGTTTACAAACTTAGGGAATCGAGATGACATCCTGTAAAGAATTGTTAAGGCTGGGTTTTTATCAATCTTATAATTTTTATCCACAAGCTACCGAGTTTGGCCACCTCAATGTGCACTTACAAATTTAACTGTTCTTGTGGATAGTTACAAAGGTAGAATGACTCATCAGATCGACCGTCGCCTTCGTGAGCATCGTCCAACGCGGTTAGGGAAAGCGGATGTAAAGTCAATCAGGGATTCCATATTGGCACACCTTGTGGATACACATCATAGGATTGATAAAATTTCCGCCTTCACAATTCTATACAAGGTTTTACCTCGATTCCCTAAGCGTAAATGACGCAGTCACTATATATATACATATGTTGATTACAGCTTGATTCCACACCGTATTTTTCGGTACAGGTATGGAATTTTCAGCATGTGATATCGATAGCCCAAATTTTGCAGGCCGACCATAGATATCAGGTGTGCGTCGTTAGAGGATCGAATCCCGGATCATGTGCATGGTCGGCGAGAGTCCTAACCACTGTGCCACCGACGCTTATTTAATTACCACTGTGGTATGAAAAAAGTTTACCAAAGTAAATACAAAATAAAAAAGTACTATTCATCAACTTTATCCAACTGATTACAACTCCGGAAGATGTTCAACCTTTTAAAACTTGTCATTTATGAGGTGCAGTCGGCATCCGACGGCCTGTTTACAACTTGGGCTAACCAGGACCCTCCATCAATATATTGAACACAATTTCTCTTCTTTACTTTGCTCTTAAATCTAATCAAATATAACCTTTTTTTCCTTTTAAGTTCCCAGTGGAACACAGGGCTCAAGCTAGAGGCTTGAAGTTTCGGTAGCAGTGATGTTTTTATTTTTTACGGGATGGGGTTGCTGCTAGCCAGCCTCATGCCCAACCATCACTCTTTACCAGTCTTATTACTAGCTTAGCGAGGTTTTGGGAATGCGTCGGCGGTCGGGGATCGAGCCCCGAACCACCTGCGTTGTCCGTGAACATTCTACCGCTATACCACTGACGCCCTAAATATAACCTGAAATGGTATTATTTACTTTGGCGAGTATTTAAAGTGTTTACAAACTGCTGATTCGCAAGTTACCATTAAACTTGAGAAAAAGCATAAACGTAAGGGGTGGGTAGGCGGCAATGTATTCCAGTACATGAGTCCCTCTGGTTCTCAGAATGTACTCCTAAACTTTTTATAATTGGCTCTCCACCAAATGTTGTGCATTTCTCGAATGACACAAAGAAGAGATATAATCATAGATTGGTTTGCGCATCAAGTCAGGTAGCACTGTGTCATACGATCTCGCTAACATTTTTTTATATTTGAAAATGCTGGATAAGGAGAGAATATCCTGCAATAAACTTCACTGAAAATTCTGTAAATCGTAAAAGAACACTGTTCAGACTATTATTGATTAGGACACCAAAAAGATAGATAGAGAACATAATTACTCACGCGTAATTCTTCTAACGTATTTAATACTTCATTGGGAGATTGGGTGGAAGATATAGTTAGACAACAGTGAAATGCATTTGACTCATCCCTGATATCACCATCAATAGTATTTAAGGATTGTGTGAAGCCATCATAAGGTTTTATGAATGATTTTATTGCTTCTTGAGCTCTTTGTATCGATGTATGAACACGCTGTTTCATTGCCAATAGTGATAGATTAGCATCATGACTTTGACCTATTAAATGATCGAAAACCGATGTACGCCATTTTAAAATCAAAAATCCCATTTCAAGTCTACAATAAGAATATAAAAGGAAAACAATTGGAAAAGTAAAGTGAATTGATGCGGAAATTTGAAAGTTAAAAACAAAAACAAACAAGAAGTTATGAGCAGTATTTATTCAAAACAAAATTTGTGCTACTGATAATACTTACAAGTAGTATGTATATACATATATAAATATGTATACTTTGATTGGACACTATTAACTAATGTGTCATGGAGGAGATATCGTGTAAGGAGGAGACTAGAACTGATGAGCAATCGTGGAGTAACTCAAAGAAGACTGCAGAGAACAGGATGAAATGGAGATGTGGTGTTGACGCCTTGTGTTCCATATAGAACCCAATGAAACAGTGATGATGATAATAATTCTCACTAAATCAATATATTTAAATAAGCAGCATATCATTACCAATTATTTCGATTATGAGTCATAGTGACTAGTGCTTGCCTCCATTCAATCAGTCATATGATCAATCAGAGTCAAAATGCATCTGCTCACCGCCCTCCCCCCCTCGGCAGACCAATACAACTATCATCCAGTTTTTGAAGCTATTTCTTAATACTGGTCTTAAAGTGTAATAATTATATCATATAATAGAGAGATATAGGGACGTAATGTAGTTTTATATACTAGATTAGCCCTTTTCTGCACAAAAGTACATCTGTTCGAGTTGGCACACTAAGGAAGAAAAAAATAATAGGGTTTGATAGAGATGGCAAATCACAAAGAGTGACTACATCTGCGCCATCACTGAGAACAATTTTGAGTCATATCTCCATTAGTTTCCGGTCAATGGTCCTCAGTTGACCGCTTCACTTATTTGGGAAGTACCAACGAGTTGATCTCTGACGAGATCTCAGAACGCATAAACAAGGCTAGTTTCGCATATGTCAGTTTACGCCGTCTCTGGCATAGACGAGATATCCGACTACCACCAAAGGGTGGGTGTACTCCTCATCAGTCCACTCCGTCCTCCTTTTTTGGCTGTGATACCTAGCCATTCAGAGTGGAAGACATGAAAAGATTAGCTGTTTTCGAACATATGTGCCTGCGTTCTATCTCCCGAGTTAGGTGGTATAGTAAAGTGAGCAATATTGAGGTTAGGTGACGAGCGCTACGTAAGGAGGGGTAATCAACCAAAGAGGCTGTGAAATTATATCGACTGAGATGGTTAGGACATGTGTTTCGCATGCCTAGTCATCGCCTTCCTCGACAATGGGCAATGTTAGATGATATAGGGTCAGGCTGGAAAAGAGCTAGCTATTGGTGGTCAAACCAAAACATGTCCTCATCAGTCAATGAAATCCACAACAACAGTTAGTTTAGGCCAGCCAGCCAGTCACGTAGGAAGGTGTAGACTTCCTGACTGGTTGGTGTTCTCGGGACGGTAAAAACCAATGAAGGCCGGAAACAATTGGTGACATGGCTCAAAGAGATCGTTCTCAATGGCTGGCTCAGATGCATTCACTCCTTGTGACTTATGATTTCCAATGAAACTATATTGTTCTTCGTTATTACAATTCCTTTGTCTCACACCTCTGTTTACTGTCTCTTATGCATTTCTTCTCTTTCTTTGTGTGCTACAAGGAGGGGGCGACTTGAACTGGTGCACGTCAGTGCATAGTTCTATGTCGAAAACAGACAGACAGATAGAGACAATGTTCCTCAGTATCCCAAGTGCCCATGCCAACCAGACAAACAGTCCACATCTCTCTATGTGGCTCAAACAAACTGTTGTAAATTTCATGGATTGATTCCGAATTTTCGTTTGACCACCACTAACTGCTCTTTTCCAACCTGATCGATCCTATGTCAGCTAACATTATTTGTCGAAGTAGGCGATGGCTAGACCTACTAGCCTCACAACCTGATCGATTGACAGTCTCCTCTCTTTAGCTAATCAACACTCAACACGTCTGTCTGTCTGTCTGTTTTCGACATAGAACTTTGCACAAATGTGCGGAAGTTCAAGTCGCCACATTCCGTGTAGCACGCGAAGCAAGAGAAGAAAGTACAAGAAAAGCATAATAGAAACAGTGAGCAGAGGTGTGAGACAAAGGAGTAATAAATAAATACAAAACAGTTTCATTGAAGATCATAAGTCACAGGGAGTGGATGCATCCGCGCCACTGAGAACGATTTTGAGCCATGTCACCAATTGTTTCCAACCATAGATTTTTGCCGTCCCGAGGACCCCAGCCTGGAAGTCTACACCTTCCTACGTGGCTTAGACCAACTGTTGTGGATTTCATTGACTGGTGCCAAGTTTTTGTTTGACCGCCGCTAGCTTTTTTCCAGCCTGACCCTATATCCGCTAACATAGCTCGTCGAGGGAGGCGATGACTTGGCATACGTAACACATGTCCTAACCATCTCAGTCGATGTAGCTTCACGACTTCGTCGATTGATTTCCCCTCCTTACCTAGAACTCTACGCCTAACCTCCATGTTGCTCACCTTATTATGCCACTTTACACGGGAAATAGAACGCGTCTAGCTTCAATGTAACTCATCTTATTATACATATACCGCCTAACATGGTAGATAGACCAGAGACATGTGTGACCAAAGATAGTTAGCCATTTTCATGATGTCTTCCACTACCTTCAATAACCATGCGCATGAAGGATGAAAAAGTGAACTGCTCCTTTACAGTAACACACATTCTGCTCAATCGATAACCAACCGGAGGATATCACGTCTACGCAGTCAGTGATCAATCCTTAATGTATTCATATTACATGTGATTTTCAGTTTTCTCTCCAACAAACAGTTCACGATATGCATATACGTGTACGTATATTATTTTCAAAAAATTGAAATCGATAGTCGATAGTGGAGAAAGTATCATATAATTTATGTGATAAGAAATTCTTTTTTTAAAAAAAAACACCCTTTAATTAATTTATTTATTCACTCGTTGATTCATTCATTCACAATCTGTACTGATGTGTAGTCGGTATATATAAGAATAAAGCCTATAAGAGGTAGTTAGGTAGGTAGGACAGTTCAAGAATTAGAAACTCATGTCGACTGCAACTGCATATGTTGAGAAATCTAGACACTATATAAGGTGAAGACTAGAACTCTAAATACGCCAAAAACAAAAAAAAAGAGAAAACAGAGATAAACGAAGAAGAAATTTATTATGCTAATAACTTACACAGTCAGCCATTCATCCATATATATATATATATATATATATATATATATATATATATATATATATATTGCAGTGTACAAGCCTAGGTAGATTTTTAGTACACACGATGGACACAGTCTCTCAAAATGAGGTTAAAAAAGGATAAGACAAAGAGTTAGAAAGTAAAGATTATGATGCAAGAGAGATAGATAGATAGATTATACACAGTCTAGAAAACAAAGCCGATTATAGCACATACAGTTAGAAAAAAACGTAGATCACTGTAAAAACTCATACTAGTTTAAATCACTGCATTCTTAAATGAAACGCACACCGCACACACACACACACATAAAAAGATTGTACATGTGCAAACATGAGTGTACAAAATCAAAATAAGAAGGAAGATAGTTAGATGAAGATTGGTGATAATATATCTTGAATTCCATATTAGATTATTATTATTATTATTCTTGCCCCTTGGGGTCCTAGTAATACATAGGGCTTCAAATACACGCCTCCACTTGCTTCTGTCTTCCTTCTGCTGTGCTTTTCACCTGCATCCATGTTAGTCCATACTCTTTCAACTCCTCTCTCTTCACACCATCTCCTCCATGTCACCCTTGCACTGATCTCCCCCACTCGCCGCTTCCCATTCTGTCGGGTTCCACTCGAGGAATGGCCTGACGCGCGCGCGATGTCACCCAGCGGTCTCCTCAGCGAGCGAGTGTCCAATCCATCCATCTCCACTTTCTCTTGCATACTTGTTGGTTGGCGATTGCTTCTTGTTTTGTTTGTTCCCATAGTTTCTTGTTGGTGATTCTGGTGATTCCAGCCCGGCCATCTGATCTTCAGTATAGAGCCAGCGAAGACAGTTAGTTGTTGATGAAGGTCTGCAACAGGCTGTTGGAAGTATTCTTTGTGACCCGCCCGCCAAGTTTCTGATCCGATCCGTATAGAAGAACTGACTGACTTGACGTTTGTATTGAAAACCCGGCTGAATTTTGTTGTTGATGCTGGCTGAGTGACGAACATTTTCAGATTGGTTTCAGGTTGATGAATGTGTTTCTCGCCCGCCTTCCGGATTCTCGCTGGATTTGACATCCTCGTCCGTTCCGACTGTCTGCAGTTGAGACAATGCCCAGTGAATGAAGTAACTAACCTCTTTCAGATCCCTCCCGTTGATGGTGATTGTCGCTGGATGTTGATGCTGCTGTTGTTGTTGGTTGGTTATTTTCATTACCTCTGTCTTTTCTATGTTCACATGGAGTTCTGTCTTCTCCGGCTGCTTCTTCGACCAGTTTGTCGGTTTTCGCTTGTAAGTCTTCGATTTTGTGTGACATCATACATAAATCATCCACGCGCGAAATCCAGGTCTTCTTGGTTCTTCACGTCGGTCCAGGATATCCCTGTCCCGTTCCTCGTTTCCCACTCACTGTCTGACGCATAATCCAGCCAGTCCACCAAAATTAGGAATATCATTCATTGGTGATAATAAGCACCCTTGTCTGACTCCTGTGTTTACTCCAAACGCCTCGCTGGGTTTTCCGTTGTGGATCACTTGACATGTGCCGTTGTCGGCCCATATTAGATAAATTACACAATTATTAGATAGTAGGAGGCATTCGGTAAGAAGGAAGCCCTCTGCCCACGCTTCGTGCTTGTTGGCACTCGTCAGCCAAAAAGGCGTATCTGTATTCTTGAAGGAACTCATACCACCTCTGAGATTCAAACACGACAGAGAGAGAGAGAGGGAGAGAGACAGAAAGACGTCAACACTGAGCTATTCGGGTTGGAATTTCAGAAGGGGCATGAGTTCCTACAAGAGTGCAAATACGCTTAGCTGACTGACAGGTGTCAGAAAGCCCGAAACTTAGGTCAAACTTGGCTTTCTACCGACTGCACCCGAATATCTAAATAACAACAATCCAGTGCACACTATGATGGCAAGCGACGTATAACATGGTGGTCAAATTCCAAACTTGACTGGTAATCAATCAATTAAGTAATCAATGAAGTATTTCGATTTCTATGATGAGTCGTTACAAAAAATATTAACATAACTGCTATGAAATGATGATTTTCTCACAGGTAGATGGATAAAGTATCCCTGATGACAAATTTCTGAACTATTGAGTAATCCTGGGGCCAGTGGTTTCGAATCCAGCCGTGATGACTCAGATATCCATACACCTCACTTTTGATTACCACCACCCATTTTTATCAACAGTCGTTCGGTCAATTCAAAGCTATCGCAGAAAGCGTCACACCATCAGTTAATCAAAATACGTGAGTAGTTATATATATATATATATATATATATAACAGTTATTAAAATCTCTCTAAGACTACAAATACATAGACGAATAAAACTTAGTGAGGCAAAAACGGGGTAGTAGTAGTAGTAGTAGTATCATTCTTACCTTGCTTTGAGAGCTAATAACCAATCACTGAAGGTATTGATAGTAACAGATACAGGTGTGTTTAATTTCTTTTCTTCATTTATTGCCTTGTCTGGTGAGGAAATCATAAACACCTGAGAACGTAATCTTTCCATTGTATTAGTCCAATGAGTAAGACGTTTTTCAAAGTGCTAAACACATACAAATGGAAAATAAACAAAAAATAACTGTATGAGATTACCAATAATATGTATGTATGTTTTCGACGTAGAACTTTGCACTGACGTGCACAATTTCAAGTCGCCACTCGCCCTCCATGTACCACACAAAGACAGGGAAGAAAGTAGAAGAAATGCATAATAGAGACAGTAAACAGAGGTGTGAGACAAAGGAATTGTAATAACGAAGAACAATATAGTTTCATTGGAAATCATAAGTCACAAGGAGTGGATGCATCTGAGCCAGCCATTGAGAACGATCTCTTTGAGCCATGTCACCAATTGTTTCCGGCCTTCATTGGTTTTTACCGTCCCGAGAACACCAACCAGTCAGGAAGTCTACACCTTCCTACGTGACTGGCTGGCTGGCCTAAACTAACTGTTGTTGTGGATTTCATTGACTGATGAGGAAATGTTTTGGTTTGACCACCAATAGCTAACTCTTTTCCAGCCTGACCTTATGTCAGCTAACATTGCCCATTGTCGAGGAAGGCGATGACTAGGCATGCGAAACACATGTCCTAACCATCTCAGATAAGAATCTCTTCGTTGGATATAATAACACACTGATTTTGATATCAACTGTCCCATTTTCAGCTGTCTACGAAACCTTCATCCGCGTACAAAATATCTAATAAATAAGAGGTAAATCTCACTGAATTCATGAAGATTGTGTCACTAGTAAATAATACTCCGTTGCACAGGTCATTATAAAACACTCCAGCAAAATAATTTGAATATCGTTCGGGTCAAAAAGCATGTCTCATATTTCTTTCATAGGCGACTAAATCGGTAATTTCATTGCGACAAAGTGATTCAATCCAAAGGGAGAAAACTAATAATAATTATTATTATCACATAATAGAAGTGAATTTCTTGCAACAACTATATACTTTATGGAATCACTAACCCACTAGCGACTGGTCCTATTCAGGCAGTTAACCTGGGGTTCTAGTGGGAAGCCGTGACCACCAGTAGCTACCTTACAGCAGGTTGAAGTGAGGTAGTAACTCATCGAAGAAAATATTGTGAAATGGTCGCGCTATGTTGCGAATCGGTAGAATTTAGAATTCATGGGCTGGCGCCATTGGATTGGGTTCCAGTGGCCGAGTAATGGTCTACGAGCTCGCCAGCCTTGTGGCCAGGAAGGCCCTGTATTCAAACCCCTGTGGTTACTGATGAAGAGTTCCAAACTAGGCAGACGAAACATCTGTCTAGTACTCCCTCATGGTTTTCCAGTAGTTCTCTAACTGATGCCAGTTGATGATGAACTCCTCCATCCAATCGCACAAAATCCTTACAAAACCAATACTTGAAAAAAAAATATATATATATTTAAATAAATAAAATAAAACAATACCGTAAGATAGCTCTTATCAATATCCATCTGTCGACGTTCATCTTCCAATTGTACAGAGAGTTGATTTTCACAAGTTCCTGTATACTTTGATACAATCAGATCAAATTGAGGAGTCTCCTCTAAACGTGATAAAAATTCGATGAGCGGAAGTGCATCCCAACGTATTGATGTAAGGAGGGCAAGTAAATCATCTTCACAAATCATTGAAATATCAGCTGTATCATCTAAAAACCCCACCATCAAACAAATAAAGGCAATAAATCCAGTTAACTAAGTATCAACAACGCATACTTATAAGATAGTAGTACATCGAATGATGTAAATTATTCAAGTGAACTGTCGTCAAGATTTGACAGAATAGTTCTAAAATATTTGGGTGCCGAGTGAGAAGTAGACATTTGTAAAAAAAGAAAATTATATTTGTAAAATCTCAGCGATATTGAAATGAGTAATTCCAACGTTCCCTGTGTTCGACAATCTGGTCCGAACTTCTTCAGGGAAATTAATCGAAATTAGCATAACAGAGGTTTATATATAAAAAGAACATGTCTGATTTTTTAAAAACTTTGTCCAATTATGAGTACTATTCTGTGAAATCTTGACGACACTTCATTTGAATTATTTTGCAATCGAATTAAATTAACAAAGAAACTAGGTAATTGGTACAATCATCGTGTTTCCATTCACCGTTGTCTGCAACAGAATGCGTATCCTAAATCCGTAGCTGTCGAGTCAACTGACAACTCCAGTAGGTCGAATAAAGCAGCTCAATCTTCAGAGAGAAGACAAAGCAACCAGTTCGACAGGGTGCTTCAACTAAACTCTAATTCTAAACACCATAATTTTGAAAATACGTCTAATCATAAAATTCTAGATACTAACAGTTTGAACAGACTGATATTAATAAAGGTGTGATCTTGTTAGCTGATGCATAGCAAATCCTGATTAATAAATAAAAAAATGGATACTTCCATTATGGGTAAATTTTGTTTTGATAAAGTCTCACAGCGTTATACAGTAATGTTTACTGATGACGTTTCGAGCACAATTTATTGCTCATAATCATATCAAGGTAATCACACGACTTCCTAAATTCATTTATATAGTTCCATTGTTTTTCTCTTGATTTTCGCTTGATTTGATTGGTAATAGTATTTTCCATATTTCAGGTATGAGTGACGAGTCATTCCTATTGCATGTGTTGGGTGTAGACTCGATGAACAAGGATTCAGTAATCAACCTCTCTCTCCACCTACCTAGATTACTTTTTAGAATTTTAACCCTCTCCCACCCTATTGTGTGGTTGTGTGTTAGCGCATGCATTGCAATTGCTGAGCTTCTTTCTAAATTACTTATCTTCTTGGGGTCAACCATTCTTACCTTAGCTAAATTTTTATGCTCTGACAATTTACCCATAATGGAATTACACTCTACCACAGTGCACAAGTTTTATTCTTATATCAAAAAAAATGGATATGTATCACTAACTAATTATACTTAGTCAAAGTTCCCGACTGTCTATATCTACTTATGGAGACGTTAAGCAATTGTTTTACAACTGTTTACTCGCACACACACACACATACACATTGTGTTTAAAGTGTTTAACAAAGGTAGACCAATATTTGTTTATCCGAGGTCAAATTTTGATCACAGCTCATAGAGTTTTTTGTTTATTATACTTGTTAATACTTTTTTTATGACTCATGATTGGACAAAGTTTTTAAAAACAAGAGATGTTCCTTTTATATATAAACCTCTGCTATGTTAATTTCGATTAATTTCCCTGAAGAAGTTCGGACCAGATTGCCGAACACAGGGAACGTTGGAATTACTCATTTCAATCTCGCTGAGATTTTACAAATATAATTATTTACAGATGCATATTATTACCTGAAAAATTCAAGAACCCTGAAAGTTGTTACCTTATTAACCAAAATAACACATCCCGACCGATAACTGCTACCTTGTCGTGGTGGTCGGGCTTGAATACCTGATATGTATCCACATATATATATTTATGTGTGTGTGTGCATGTCGGTCTCTCTGTTTGCTCGGTTAGTCTGTGACCACTTCACTTGTATGGACTTGTCTCTTTTAATAATGTGTATTCTCCTTATATTATATTATATATAATATGAGTGTTTGTTGACAGTCCGTTGCTTGGTGACATATATCCATGTATGTTTGTTGGCATGTCTGCTATATTCGCTATGTATAATTGGATCGACACTCCATTATAATTAGCCATTCATGTTAAGACTGTCTAGTGATTTTTCCCACGCTTGTCTGAATTATTCATATATATTTCGCATTTACAATTTGTGTGAACTACTTTACTTTACAACTACTTGACTTGCTTACCACTTTGGTGTGAGACCATTTATTTTTGTCTCCTTGTGTTTGGACAATAGAAGTATCATCGCAAACCTAGTGGTCTTCTGATTTCCGCCTTCTCGCGTCAGGACTATTAGTTTCTCGACCAGTCCATAACAATAATTTATCGACTAGTACATAACAATACCGTAATGACCGAACATGCTAAACTGACTGGGACTCTGGCCCTGCACGTCCTACTATGTCAGTCAGGAAGGTTTTCTGGATAGCGGTTAAACTAAAAGCACTTACCATGGGGTACATGGGCTCCAGTATCCAATCGGATCAAATGGCGTATGAACCCATATGGGTCACCGGAAACCATGGGAATGCAGCTCCTGACGCTGCTCCGCTGCCTTGCGGATTAGACTCCAAGTCAAAGGCTCGGGGGGGGGTGGTCCCTTAATAAAACCACCTGCTTCGTTCTGGGCGCCCGGACAGTATCTCAGCCCTCACACAATCAATTGAATAAAGCAACAAACAATCAATGAAACTTATCGCGTGCTATTGCGCGTGTTGCAATTTCCTTCTTTCTTCCCTTCCCGATGATAGTTAACCAATACTGTTTGAACTTGTTAAGCATAACTGTTTTCCTTCCTAATGAAGTTCTTTATCCGTTCTCTACTTATATATACTTATATACATATATATATATCTTCTTTTTTATTTTGATCTATGTTGCTTTATTATTATTGTGTGGTGCATCCTTCTTGGTGCCATATTGTACCAAGTTTTATATGGGTTTAAATAAAATAACACATGAATTGGGGGAAGTAATTCTACTGACGTAGTTACTATACTGCCATCACTTACAAGTGAAGTATGTGGTGAAGACATTTTACAGTGCAGTAGGGGTTTAACGCTTATGAAATAGAAGGGTGAAATGAGTTTTATTTTAAAGAAAAACAGGAGTTAGACAAAGCTGTTCATTATCACTGATGATAGTCCTATTTGTGACGCACTGAATAATGAGACATACTGTGCTTGAGGAACGAGAAGGCAGGAATACACTGGACTACCGATTAAAAAGACTGACTTTAGAAGATCTGGAATTCCCGCATGATTTATGTCTCATGTCATATAAATTCAGTGATTTACAGGTGGAAACCAACAAGATGGTAGAAGAAGCAGCCAGGAAAGAAAGGACTTCAAGTAAACATAGAGAAAATTTAGGTGATAAAGAAAACTAACCAACCAACCACGAGCAACAGCAACAAAAACCAGCACCAATCACTATCAAGGAAGTAAATTTGACATTGATCACTTCTTTCGCTTGTCGAGGAAGAATCGTTTTAACTACAGGCAACACAACAAGAGGATCTCAAAAGTGCAATCAGAATATGATAAGAAGTCAGTACACTTGTGCCATTAGGAAGGAATTTGAGCAATATCCGAAAAAAGGTCTCAAATTATTAGACCTTAACTATTGCAATCCACACGTCTTTACTGAGATGAATGGGGACTGTTTTAATATATCTTACGGTTTGTTTTCAACCGGCCAGTGAACCAAAGTGAGAAAGAAAAAGAGAGACATCATTTCAACAATTAAAACAAGGGGAAGTCATTTATTCTTTTGGAAAATAAACACCATGAGATAAAATGTCACAAGGGGCTATTGTAACGGGTGGAGATAAGAGACTTGATAGCGGATCTCTATGAAGGAAAAACATAATATTCCTATATTCTTAGTCACAAGAAAAGTTCGGTTAGGTCAGAGGAGAATTAACTGTTCTGAATAGTTGTCGATTGACTGGCCCAAGGTTAAACAAGTTGTCCAATGAGGCTGTTCCAAATCCACATAGTAGACTAGATCCGGATTTGAGGAATAAACACTTCTACCTCTGCAGTCAGCTGCCAATGACTTAACTTGTTGATTTCCCTTTTAGCTGCCTCCTATCAGCCTGCATCATGCCACACACCAGTAATGATACATTTAATCTGTCAACTTCTGAACAAGAATAGTAAACATGAAAGTATGGTGATTACGAAGAGTGTTTTTTGCTATCCATAACTTTTAGGACGCTGAGTAAAAAAGGCTACCTTACAATTAGTTCCCTCTCTACTGAAAAATCTGACAGTAGCTTTAAAGAAAAAGCGTGTGGTTCGGTGACAGAATACTCTTCAACCACGCTTCACTTGGTTGGGGATCCGATCTCCGGCTGACGCACTCCTAAACCTCACTCAGTGACGTAGTAAGCTCAGTTAACAGGGAAGGTTGAGTGTGGGAATAGCAACTCTACCACCGTAAAAAAAACACAACAGCAATTCAGTGTGGCTGCTACTGAAACTTCAAAGCTCAGCCATGAAGCCCTATAATCCCCACTCGGAGTGTGCAAAGGAACAAAAACATAAAAAATTTTATTTTTCTGTTTTTTTTTTACAACAAAACTTACAAGAGATACTTCTGTTTCCAAGAGTTATCGAATTTAAGTTACTGGGATGTTTTTCTTCCTGTATCAAGGGCAAAAAATAAAACAGACATCTCGTAAAAACGCATATAATACACGCAAAGAAGCAAGAGAAGAAGGGTATATGGTTATGAGATATTAGTTTTACACATCATGAAATCTTTGAACCAGCCACATAGGAAAGGGGTGGTGGTTTGTCTGGTTGGGTTCATCGGGATTTTAACCGCCAGTACCTAGAGACAATTAGTGATATAACTCAAAACCACTGTAAATGGCGCAGATTCATTCACTTTTTATGATCTCTTATATCCATTAAACACTATTGTTTTTCCATGCTACTATTCTTTCTCTCCGACATTTCTGCTTATGGTCCTTCTTCTGCATCTCTTTTTTCTCCATTTGTGTGCAACATGGAGTATGGCAAGTCGAACTTGTGACGTTGACTCCTAGCTTAGAAATTGACTGACTGGTAGCAATGTAGAACTTTTCGCCGATTTGCAGCAGTTCAAGTCGCTACTCGCCCTCGATGTACCACAAAAAGCCAGGGAAGAAAGTAGAAGAAATGCATAATAGAGACAGTAAACAGAGGTGTGAGACAAAAGGAATAGTAATAACGAAGAACGATATAGTTTCATTGGAAATCATAAGTCACAAGGAGTGGATGCATCTGAGCCAGCCATTGAGAACGATCTCTTTGAGTCATGTCACCAATTGTTTCCAGGCTTCATTGGTTTTTATTATCCCGAGGACCCCAACCAGGAAGTTTACACCTCCATACGTGGCTTAAACTAACTGTCAAAAATTTCATTGACTCATGCCACGTTTTGGTTTGATTACCACTGGTTAACTCTTTTACAACCTCATCGATCCCAAGTCACCAAGCATCGTCCGTCGGTAGAGAAAGGTGATGACTAGGCTAGCCTAGGCATGCCTTACACACGCCCTAACCATCTCAATCGGTGTAACTTCACACCCTTGTTGATTGATTTCTCCTCCTTACCTAGAACTCGACCGACACCCAACCTCAACATTGTTCACCCTATTACACCACTTCACAGGGGATAAAGGACGCAGGTACCTAATGATCAAAGACAGCTAGCCGGTCTTTTCATGTCTCCTAATTTCAATGGCCATGTCTTGTTCGCAGCCAGCCATAAAGGAGGACGAAGCGGACTCCTGAGCAGTATACACACTCCTTAGTCGACATCCAGCCGGATATCACGTCTGCGCCAGAGACAGCGTAAACTGGCACATATATGCGAAACAGGTCTTCTCTATCCGTGCTGAGATTTTGTCAGCCGTCAACCCAGTGGCGTTGGCTGATGCAAATTCCTGAATAAATGAAGTGGTCAACACGCTCAGCCACCACAATTCACTCCCTATCTTTAGGCTAGGAGTCAATGTAGTCCAGTCCTGTAACCCCATCATCTTACATTTGACAATGGGAGTGAATCGCATGCCAAACATTCGAAGATTGCTACTGCTGAAGGTGTTCAGAAAACTCTGCATTTTGTCAGCGTCTTCACCCAGGATGGAGGACTATATCATCTGCATATTCTAAGCCAACGTGAGGCTTTATGTGAAAAGCTTTCATTTAAATGCTTTGCTCAACATAAATCAAATATGGAGTGCACACAAACCAACATGAAAACAAACAAAGGATGGATGGGTGGATGACATAAGCATACAAAGTATTATCAGAAAATAAAAAAAAAGTTTACACACAACTAATAGGCTTACTTTGGACGTTACAGCAACAGACGAATCAACTTTAGAGACGATTGGTTCACACAGATGAACCTTGATACTTTGCTCTTTAAATATGACTAGTTTTGGAGATGAGCAATCGTTGTTTGGACTAGAACATAATACTTCAGTGTAAGGTGTAGAATGAGTGATAATCGCCTACAGATGTTTAAAAGTAAAAAATAGAAGAAATATATATATATATATGAGTATACACATGTGTGTGTATGTGTGTATCAAGTCGAAAATGATAAATTAAGACGGGATAAGCATGAAAATGTGATCACCACCAATAAGGCGTTTCTTTCTATATACAAATATCAAGTTCTACTGATTAATTGTGTAAATATGGTCAATAAACAACTACTGAACAAAATTTTGTGTTCGCAGGCACACTAATCACTTCATACCATAAGGAAGAAATTTGGCTTAACCAGCAAACTGAAACTCAGGTTACAAAGGGAATAAAGTCATAGATTCAAAAAGGAAGATGCAAAAAAAAAATAAGAGCCTAGATCATTCAGATTAGCAGATTAGTCTACCCGAAGAAGAAAAAACATTTTGTCGATCATTAATATGATCATGTATCAGCCGTAAGCTTTGAATAATTATGCATTTAGTTATTTCTTTTTATTTTCTTCTGAAAGAGAGATCCTTTAGCAATTAGTGTTTTTTGAGCTGGTTGGTTTATTTGTGGAGCTTTCGTCGTCCTCCTTCTGGACAACATCCCCTTTCAGTGCAACTTTTAGCATAAAGTGAAATTTAATTTTTTCTTCATGAGTGATATAATTACGTCTCCTGATGACCAACCATCTTTACATCTGTATTGATCATTTTCTAATAACTTGGATTTTAAACTTTCTGGTGATATGATTTACTTTTTATTAGTTGGTGCGTCGGTGGCACAGCGGTTAAGACGCTCGCCGACCATGCACATGGTTCGGGGTTCGAGCCCCGGCCGACGCACTCCTTTACCTCGCTAAGCCAGTAGTGAGACTGGTAAAGAGGAAAGGTTAGACATGAGGCTAGCAACCCCATCCTGTAAGAAATCAACACTGCTACGGGATCTTCAAGCCTCTAGCTTGGAGCCCTATGTTCCACTGGGAACGTGAAGGAAAAAAAGTTGGTATACTTGGTCTATATTAACGTGTTTGTTGCTGATTGCATATTCGTTTGAGTACCAGGCTTCTAGGAATTCCGCGGCACTTTTGGTGTTTCCTCTGTCTAAGATTTCGACATTATCCCAATCAAACTGATGTCCATAATTATTTATATGCATTCACATATCATGTCTTATCACATCTAATTTGTGTTCCTAGATTCTAATTCGAAGGGCACGCCCACTTCGGTCGATGTAATGCCTATTACAGTTCATACAATTTATTTTGTAAATGGTGTTAATTTTATCTCCTTTTCCTGTTGGATCTTTCGGTTTGCTTAATATCGAATTAAGCGATTTGACTGGCTGGCTTGTGTGCTACATCTATATCAAACGGTTTCAGTATTCTAGCTGTTATTTCAGAGATATTTCTCATGTATGGTAGGATGAATTTTCTTGTGGTCTTTGATGATGGTTCCTTGTTGGTGTTGTGATTCGATTTTAAACACTTTTTGATGAAATTTTGTGGATGTCCATTCCTCTTTTTGAAGACCGTTATTAGGTATTTTTCTTCCATTCTTTTCAATTCTAGAGTGCTACAGTGTTTGAACTCTCTTTTAAACAATGTCTGCACACAGTTTCTTTGGTGAGTGAGTAATTGGATTATTGGTAGTATAGTTGAGTATTTGATCTGTGTGTGTGCGTTGATTTTCTATATACTTGTGTTTCTAAATTTCCTGTGTTGGTCCTCCTGATTAAGACATCTAAAAATTGGGTTTTTGTTATTTAATTCTTCACTCTGGTGGTGAATTTGATGCCTTCAAATATGCTGTTTATTAATCTATGGGTATATTCTAAATCCTTGTTACTTTTCAATTCATGAATAATCTCCCATCCAGAAGAGAATGAAAACAAAAAAACATGTAGTTCAACAAAGAGGTTCTTTCCGGTGAAATAATCTTCCCTTGCATTCACAGTGGATATCTACCACGATTGATTGACAGGAATATCAAATAGAAAAAAAGTTTCGAGAAAGAAACTTTTCATGAACCCTGATTTCAAGGGAGACTTAACCTGCGATATCCTTAAGAGAAGAATTTCAGCATCTTTGAGATGAACATTCTCTCCATCAACACTAAGAGTAGTGTTCCACTGGTCTACAAAAACCTTAATGACAAGAGTTCCCATTTGACCACTTCTATGTACATATACCAGCTGACCTGTTCCTGTCGAGCCAGGCATATTGACCGTCCGATGCCTATCCTGTTTAAAAGAGTTAAAGAACAATATCCTGAATGGCTGCAGAAAGGTAGTAATGGCTCTCCCCAAAAAAGTGCGGTATTTTCAAGTATTGGTTGCGATAATCAAACCCCTTGTGAGCACTGGTCATTCCATTTCAATAATCACCTCCTTCAAAGTAATTTACAAGGTGAAGAACAATCTGCCAAAGGTAATAAGTTTTCGTCTGTTTTGCAGTGCTGAAGCTCTAGCCATTCAGATAGAGAAAATCATTCAAATTATTCATGAAACCAACCTTGTTGATTTCAACTGAGTTGATTTTTGTTTGTCGGTTTTTCGAACCTCTTATAATTCTTGTATTTCTTTAGAACTCTTAGGTGATTCCATATTTTCCTTCGTCTATATATGCATGAATTCACCAAAAAAAGAGTGTCTTCGCTGAAATACGCGTTTTGTTTTCCTTAAAGGAGAGTTGGCACAGCAAACCGTTTGAAACGTTGCGTAATTCACCGATTATTAACACAATATTTACATATTGAGAAGCAGGATGGTTGTTGATCGATAACAAGGAGGTAAAGCACACAGACAGACTAATATAAATATACAGATGACGGTTTGCCTAGTGTTATTCTTAAAAAATATACACACTCCTGTGTTATCCTCTCATGGACATATTTAACGAATCTTTTCCCAGAAATGTCGTGCCAGCCGTTTGGAAGGACATCAAAATTGTATCTATCCCTAAGTCGTCTACTGGAACATGTTTTAAAATTAGACCTATTGCTATTACGTCTCCTTTGCTAAAAGTTATGGAAAAGTTACTCTTGCTTAATCTTCAACCTACACTTAAAGCCTTTAACGATCCCAAACAATTCGCTTATAAACACAGTAGAAGTATTTTAGATGCAGTTGCAGTCTTGTACTATAACATTGTCTCCAGCTTAGACAAGAGGGCTAAATTTGTTCGTTGCACCTTCCTAGATTATACGTCGGCTTTCGACTTAGTACCTGGGGACATTTTGTTAGACAAGCTTGCTGAAACTCAAACTGACTGTTGGATTGTCAAATAACCGCATTCTTATTTTTCAGAAAGAAAGCATTACACTGTATGTCAAGGAAAGTCGTCCACTTCGTTGCTTACTGAAGCTGGTGTCCCTCAAGCCTCTGTCCTTTCTCCTTTTCTGTTTTCTTTCTTCTTGCATGATTTGCCTCACTCTGATGAAATGAACTTTGTTAAGTATGCCAATGATCTAACTATTTCAACGTCTGTTAACTCCTAGCTAGACGGTACTAAGATGAAAAACAGCTTTTTATCAGGAGTTAGCAAATGGTCTTCATAAAACGGCTTTAAACTGAATTCTTCCAAATGTCGGACTGTTAATTTCAGTTTCCGATGTAAACGAAAGTAAATGAAACCGTTGGTCCCTATGACCCTTGCAAATTGATGACACTGATATATAAACCAAGTCTGAAATTAAGTATCTTGGATTAATTCTTTCCTCTGACCTATCCTGATCTTCCCATGTCTTAGCGATTTCTAAAAGAATATTTCGTCTGACTTTTCACATCAAGAAGTTAAGGCAATCAGGCATAACCCAACCCCTCCTCCTCTTACAGTTTGTCAACTCGTGCATCTTACCGATTCTTCTTTAGTGTTCAGCCTTGCTTATTCTTTCCTAGATTGCTTAAAAAAGACTATGTCATACTATACTTCGTAGAACTCTGAAGACTGACTGTCAGTAGGGCGAGTGGTATCCCATTGGGCCATATTGTTGACATTGTCACGGATAGGCACTTGATGTCATGCAACAAATTTTGCTAAAGGAATTTTGTCAGACTGTGAGCATCCACCACAGCACCCGCAGCTCCAGCCTTGTGTCTCCTCAGGTAAAACAAGAAGTCTTTTTATAAGTATTTACGCACGTACGTCTAAGTATAAAAATTCCACTATACCATATTTGAAACGTACTTGATGTGATGAAAATAGTGTCAGGCATGAACTAACTAACTTTCTTTGCACTAGTAAATAAACCTTTTCCTCCACCCTTACAACATCAAAATTTATTGTGATTGTATTTCTTATATTTATAATCCTCTCAATTTTTTGTTTTTGTTTATTTTTTTTCAAAAGTGTGAACATCATTTAAGCTGTGTTAATAACTGTTAATTTTGTGTTTCCCCTTAATATACTATATCAATAGAACATTAGATCCAATAATCTATAACATGCTAGAATTTCCAAACTGAATGGACAATGCTGTTTGAAACAAACTCACTGTTATTATTATTATTATTATGACTATAATATTTAGTGATCTCATTTCGTGCTTCGAATATTTTTGACTTTATATCGTGAATGTGGACAAATTCCTCTGATTACTTTTGTTTTAATTTTTAATTTTATTTATATTTTGAGTTAATCAGATGCAATATTGTGACAAATGCTGGGAATTCCATTCTGTATTATAAGTACTGTTTTTGGAATAAAGTAAATTATTATCATTATTTTTAAATCAATATTGTTCCTCTGGGTTCCGAGTGGAAAGTAGGGGTTCAAAAGAACATCCCGACTTTGTCCTACTCTCTGAGGTCCTCTATAGCTGGCCTTATGACTGCCTGTAGTCTCTCATCTTCTCCATGTCACCCTGGGATACATGCCCAATTCGTTGCTTTCCATTCAGGTTCCACTCAAACGAGGGTCTGGAGCAAGATGTCATTCGATGGTCGGTCTCCTCCCTGTGTATCCGATCCCCCAACCCACCATTATCTTCTGCATATTTATTGGGCAGAAGTTCAATAAAAATACACTGAAATACTTAAATGATTTGTAAACTAGATAACAAAAATTGATAAACTCAACTCAACTCACTTCCGTATGCGATTTTCTACGTGAGGGAATAGCTCGACTACGACGACGTCGAACCTGTGCTTCATTCTGTTGTGTACGAGGAGATATTAAGGCTTCAGCAGCAGCAAGTGTTAATGAAAAAGAGTCAACATCAGAGGAAACTTTTCCATTTACTCTGCATGGTGATGACGTCCGATTCAATCCATCATCATCAACTGATCCATTGTTATGTATTGGAGACGATGAAGTACAATAACGCTTGTCTTGTAAACTAGACTTTACACCTTAAACATTGGAGAAATTTAAAATTATAATATAAGAATGAAACAAACTTTTGTTTTAAGGAAACGAATTTCGTTTTAAAATTGTTTTTATGCACTAATTCATCCGCCCTTTTATCAGTAGTCAAATAACAAAGTAAACAACAAAATATGATCGACTGCGATGAATAACCATTTTTTTTCTTTGACTACGTTACGTAAAATATTGATTACCGTTTGTTTTCATTCAGTGTTAAATATAAATGTTACAAATAAAATTTTGTTGAATATAAAATTTCTGACTTCTGTCCGCTTCGTGTCATTTAGTCGGGGTTTTTCAGTGTCCGGTTACTATACACACACACACAGAGGGATATTAAGTGATAAAAATGTCACACTACAGTCATGATTAATCAGAATACAAAAAGTCAGTGCCATGAAATGAAGTCATGGAGCAAACAATAGAAGAGAAAACGTGCTCCATTTCAGCTTCGTCTTTTGGGGCAGTACTCGTCTGTCTTTCTCGGAAATCCTAATTTGCGTTACACTGAAGTCACAAACCACCTATATTGACTGCTGTGGCGGACGAGACTTATAAGTAGTGCATGTAGACGAATATTGACGGAAGCGGCCAAAATTGCAGTCAGCATTTTTAGTTGAACTTGGCTGCTGACTGCCAAGGTAGAAGTGTATATTCCGCAAATCTGGATCTAGTTTATACGAAATGGACATGGAATAGTCTGTCTATTTAAGCTTGCTTGAACCAACACCCAACCGGTCAGAACAACTTATTGTCCACTGAACTAGGCGATTTTTAATGTGGCTAAAATACATATTAATATGAAGTATTTTTCCCTAGTAAATGTCCATTACCAATTCTGTTATCTTCCACTGTTACCCTTTGCATCACTACCTTCGGAAAATGAAGAACCCATGGCCTGATGCTTTCATAATATGAGACATACGGAGCTTCTTGCGGGATCCGATGGAGAAGACGGTTGTGTTGGGGACGCTGCTGAGGGGTATTGCGAAGGCGGAGTACGACAGTATACAGCGAGCAGGTGGTGGGAAGATATGCAAAATACTGGTGGAACGATTAGCTGGCGATTGGTGCAAGGTTAGAAAACCAGACGGAAAGTTGTCCTATGAGATTATTTCATGCCCACAACATAAACTAAGTCCAGATTTGAGGAATACGCACTTCTACCTCGGCAGTCAGCAGTCGAGGTTGACTGAAAGTGTTAATTTCAGTTTTAGCCACTTCCTATCAATCTACATTCTCATATACCACTTATAAACCTCTTCAACCAACCTGCCACTAAATCAAGCCACAAATTACTGTCGGTACAAGCAAACTACGCATGTGATTCGGTGCTATAGACTATGCTACCAGAATAACATTAATCCTAGTATTAGTTTTGCAGTCAACTTCTCGGTGGTAGACGACGAAAATGACGACAACCAGTCTCTTCCATGCTTTAGTGTGATGGACTTTTTCTCATTATCAAATATTACACTACTCCTGTCTAAAGATGACTAGCAGATTACGGTAAGCTCTTAAAACTTGACAGATGTGTAGGTTATCATCGAGCGACTGATTCGCATAAGTAAATAAAACGATTTCATAGAATATGGTATATCACGACTTCAAATACTGGTTTCTGCTAATCTAATGACAAAAGTCGGTAGCGAAATAACAGGATAAGAAATTAGGATTATTGTGCAACGAAGAAACATCAAGTTAAATTTGACAGATGCTAACGGCATTCCAAACATAATTATAATATTTATACTCAGGGTGTTGTTCAGAAGACTGCATTTTTTCAGCATCACCAAACAAGTAGAATGTAGTCAGGTTGCTTTCTGTTGTTGGAATTCAACTTTCCATAAACTCATTCAGTGAATAATCACTCTCTTCAACGATGTCATTATCAAGCTGTACAATCGCATACATAGAGTAAATTGTCTTAGCAACAAAAGGAACACTTCCAAAGGTGTCTTAAGAATTGTAAATTTTAGATAACAAATTACATAATAATATAAGAGGCGTTATTTGGGTAGAAAGTAAAATAAGTAGATTGCATAGCGCAGTATGATTGATAGGAATGAGCAGAACCCAGCCAAAACTAAAAGGCAGTCAATATCAGTGTCATAGGTCTATGGTGCTTAAGAAATGACAGAGCCTTCACGGTAGCAAATACCAAATGTCATGGTTGAAACTGATTTTTATGATGAACGTTTATTCCAAGCTTGACCACAAATTGATATCAGCTAGAGAACCATTGAAAACCAGGGAGTACTGAACAGTCAGCTGTCTCGTTCTATCTCAGGACTCATCGGAAGTACTAACCCAGGACCTCCCAAGTTCGTAAACCATTTGGCCACTGGTACCCAATTCAATGTCCAGCCCATGAATTCCAACTTCTATGAATTCGTAATTTTAGCGCGACCACCACCAGCCAATGTCATTGACGAGTACAAATACTCGCCGGTGACCTAGCGGACCCCACTGTTGACGACCTCCAGCTAGAACTTCAGTAAACTTCGTCCTGTAGCCAGTCGTCACTAGTGAGCATCAGTAAGTTTATTCGGTGGTTTAGATATGACTTGCTGTTTTTTCTATGCTCATAAAACAAAGTGACCTACACAACCGTTACATTCCATCGAAAGAGTACTGTGTATGTGTGTGAGAGAGAGAGATCAATATAACACGAACAATAGACAAAAATAGAGATCGCTTCATAGTTGATTGGAGGTCAAAGGTCAATGAATAGTGCAATAAGAGTATTATGCAAGCACTCGAAGAAAAGCGAATATAATGTTATTAAATATCATGACATATAAAGAAGCTAAGTATTATGCAACTGATAATTATTTTCTTATCTGAGTCAACTAACAACCACTAACTGCACAAAAATCACTTCGGATTAAATAACATCGAAATTTCAAGGACTACATTGAACAATTTCGTAACCATGCTAGACAGAATTACTAAATTACAACAAATTGTCGGAAGTAATTCTTGTTGTAGTAAGATGCTCAATAGCGACTGATCCTATTCGGAAAGGTAGTTACCTGGGAATCTAGTGAGAAGTCGTGACCAGTAGGGTGCAGCAGGTCGGGTGTGAGGACAAATACTCATTACCGATGACAATGTCATGAATTGGCAGAAGTTGGAATTCATGGACTGGTCATTGGATAGGGTTCCAGTAACCTAGTGGTCTGCGGGCTCACCTTGTAACCACAAGGTCCTGGGGTTTGAATCCCGGTGGGCGCATACTTGACGAAGAGTCCCAAACTAGGCTGACGAAACAGCTCTTCAGTACTCCCAGGTTTTCCAACGGTTCTCTAACCGATATCAGCTCATGATGAAATCCTGTAACCAACTCCAGAAATATTTGGTGAAAACAAGAATGAAAAGATTAGAAAATTCGATCCAGAAACCATGCCTACTGCATTGTTTCCTAACGGCAGCCATTTGGGAATACCATCATTTTTGGGATGAATAGGTCTTCTGACTCTCTGAACCGAAGGAATTTATATACTGTCATCTTTTTTTTAAGAATGATACAAGTTAGGTATACTTTTTCACTCAACGTCTAATACTTTCAGACTAGTTGCTGCGTTAGAGTGTTATCGGTCTCACTATTTCCTCATCCTAAGGTCTCTTGAAGCAGAAAAACGAAATAGTTCTGTTGCACAAAAACACCTCTTACACTTTAGACGACACAGAAAATATTTGGATTGTACTTCTTACCATCCCCTAGATAAGTAGATGGCTACTTCAGGATCGAACGGTGTTTAACTATAGTTCAGGTTAATTAATACAAGAAGTAAGTTGGTTGGATGTGTTAGTGAATCACAAAAACTTGGTGCGAATACAAAACATCAGCTCGGCTTTCATCTTCACTGTAATGCAAGTGAAACACCCTGACTGTCTAGTATGAATCTAGTGCACAGTGCGCACCAGTACGCTTTGTTCTGCTTCATGAGATATAAACACTGTCACTCAAAATAGAGGATCTACGAAAACTTTAGTTGCATAGTATATCTATGATTTCTTTATATTATCCATGCTTCATAGCGTCACTCAGTGATTACAACAGAAACTAGACAAAAGGCTCCAAATAAGATCAGTAAGTCATTCGAGGGAACTAAATTTCCGTCGCGTGATATATTTGGAAAAGGTGCTGCTTTGACATTTTTTATTAGTATAAGTCAGAACATATACCGGAAAAGTGTAGGATAGTAGAACGCTGAAGTCCCTGAATGTCCGTATGAAGCTTGCAGGGAAGTCTAAGTTTAGTGGAGTTAGTCACATAGCGCCAAATCTTTCCCAGTTACACAGAGGTTCCTAAAGAGATCCAGTAATCTTCATGGAATTATTCTATCTACTGTATATTTCATTGCTTTCCTATTCCTTTTTTATGAGCTTCTTCCAAGTTTGGCAAAATGAACTGATGCAGTTTTGTGAAAAGTTCTCATTTGTCAGTCGGGTTAGCCAGCCTTGTTGCCATTCATCACATGACTACAAACACGCGAATGACACAAAAATAATTGCAGATCTGAGCTGTATCAAAATGGACCAAAACGTAGTAATCCAAGGATTTATGCTGATAATATCAGGTGAAGATGACGCTCCAAATGAACAAAACCAATCTAAACATCTTCTATCACTTGAGAGATATTGGCGCACTGTCAACTGCCAGAATACAAGCGAAAGCATTTGCATGTATCCCAATCATCGTGAAATTAATTTTCTAATCTTTGAATAATGCACTTTATATCTTATTGTCCTTAAAGTTTCGTGTTTAACTGCATGTTTACTCTATATACTATAAACACCCGATAGTGAAACAGTATTATTTAGTTGACGACATTTTGAACGCAGTTTACTGTTCATAACCATATCAAACATATCTCTTCAACTTTGAAACTGGGTTTTTATAGTTCCAGTTCTCCATTCTCATTTGTCATAAGGGAAGAACTTTCCATATGCTTAGGACAAGTGCTGAGTCATTCCAATAGGATGCGTCCACAGATCCGCCCTACCATATTAGATTCTAAGACTATCACTTTGTCTCATCTGATTGTGTGTGACAGTATTTTCTCATTTCTCTGGTTATTTGGGTAGACTTCCCAACTTCGCACACTGTACGAGCACTCCACGTCCCCAACCTTATTTTCGCTTTCATCGAAAGAAAACACATCGGCTGACTGGCTTGCAGAAGGCTTAAAACAGCCAGTGCAATTCCATCTCTCAAAACCCAACGGGAAGTATGTTTTCTTAAATATTTTCAGTATTTTTCTAGTGCTTTGAAGTCCCTGCAGCAATTTGATTGATTCTCCGGGTCGCTAGCCCCATACCAAACCCTCCCTTTTTTCCCGGGCTTGGAACCGGCTAGAACACTAGGCGAGGGAAAGCACTTTCAACAGGCTACAGCAGACTTTTATCAACACCCCCCACCTTCACTTCGTGTTGAAGATCAAATGGCCAGACAGAATCAACGACCACAAACTGTAGGAAAAAAACCAAATAAATAACCTACTGCTCAACAAATATGCTGAAGAAAATGGAGATAGACCGGGCATACACTGAGGGGACTATAGAATGACACTGCGCGCCACGCCATCGCTCGAGTGGAACCCAAATGGGGCGTCAAAGGGTGGCATGGAGGAGATAGTGGGAGAAGGAGGTGAGAGACTATGACCAGTGGTGGTGCCAGCTAAAGAGGCACACACCAAATAGCACAAAGTGGAAATGTTCTTTTGGAGCCCTATGTTCCACTCGGGAGCCAAGGGAACAATAATGGCAAGAATAAATATGTATGACAGTTAGGATTTTTTCTAGATTTAGATTTAAGTAGGGCACACCAGTTTCGATTTCACTAATTTCTTGTGCTCTGACAAGCTGATTAACCCCAGTTCACTACTTTAACCAATGTTTTTGACCCGACATTCATTTCATGACATAAGGGCAAACTGAATTATTGTCTAATAGACTCTGGCAGAATCATTTAGCTAATAGAATTCACTTCTACATGAGTTATTTGGTTTAAGTGTCACTCTTATCCCTGCTTTGGTTAAGAATCCTGAACAATGTTTCTTTTTATAGTAGCACCTTCCTTTGGCACTGTCACCTTTGTGGATACCGTAGGTATTTATGTCACTCTAATTTGTCATTTTATTTTCATATTTATGATCTCCTATATACTTAGGGAAAAACTCATCGGCTTCAATGTAAAACGTAAAGCCTTCTCTTACGTTTAACTTCTTGTCGTAGGTTTTCCTTTGTACTAATGAGTTGTACTGCTCTTTCAGCTATACATTTCACTGAGATAACTGACAGTGTGGAGGTAAGTTGACGCTCGAGTACTGCTTTGAATATTTGGATTTTCTTTAGAAATATTAGTATTTAATTCCCCCCCCCATCTTGCCTCATTTCAATTATGCAATCTGTCATCGGAAGCTCTCCTCCGTAGCATCTTAACTCAGTAGTGAATTGGATTGCCACTGGCATTAAATCTATGGTGTTTGGGAACACCTATGCATACTCTGTGCTATAAACATTACGTCTACATACTTTCATGTGACAACTAGATCTGACGATTGAATTATGCCTAGGCGATATGACTCGGAACGTAACACAAGTGATAACAGTTGAATTCGGACACTCATTTCTCAAGATCAAGATAGAGGAGTTGTTAGTCAACCTCTTATGATTATTTGGAGGAAGATGTAAACTCACATCCAGGTTTCAATAACCTTCTCTCAGCATAGTTTTTTAAAGTGTATTGTTGCGTAATACATCATTACTACAATACTGCACACAGCTGAGGCGATAGGCATTCAAACTATTAAACCTTAACTATGTGTACAAAAGAAGTTCATACAGCCATTATCCTTCCCTTGGCCTATTAAGACATAATCAACAACTGTCTTCTCTGGCTCTATACTGAGGATCAGATGGCCGGGCCGGAAAGAATCACAATCACCAACAAGAAACTATGGGAGCAAACAAAACAAGAACCAATCGCCAACCAACAAATATGCAGGAGAAAGTGGAGATGGATTGGACACTAGCTTGCTGAGGAGGTCGCTGGGTGACATCGCCCGCGTCAAAACCATTGCTCCAGTGGAACCAGGCCGAAAGGGAAGCGGCGAGTGGGACGTCAGTGCAAGGGTGACATGGAGGAGATCGTGTGAAGAGAGAGAGGAGTTGAAACAGTATGGACTAACATGGACGCAGGTGAAAAGTACAGCAGAAGACAGAAGCAAGTCGAGATGCGCAGTTGAAGCCCTATGTTCCACTAGGAACCCAAGGGAACAATAATAATAACTGATAACTTCTACACCACTCCTTACTTATATTTCCAACCCCTCTCTATTCATCCCTTAATCTTATCACAACTTCATTAAAAACGTGTTTCGTTTATTTGCTACCCTTACAATTTAACATTACTTAATCGGTTCATTTGTTTTTCTTAGCCTTAGAGACTAATGCGTCTACCTGAACGTTTGTCTGTTTAATCATGCTGTTTTTCATTATTCGTGTTATCACAGATTGCCTCACTTTTTCATCCTTATTATTGATTAAACCATTATTATTATTATTATTATTATGACTAATTTCACAATTTATATTCAACAAAACACCATAAATGGTTTATATTTGAATGTTTATTTGTAAAGTTACGTATATTAGAGTTGGGCCTGATGAGATCTAATTGAAAACACAGCATTGTTCGCTTAAATGAGTTGTTCTAAACTTGGTGATATATTATATCAAGAAAAACAACAGAATAGATAGAAGGAGAAATTACTTACCTCGTATATCACCTAAATGATCCCATTCTAGTCCATCAATTGACATATCAGGATTGTTATCGGTTGCTTGAGTACCACATCGTTTTACATCATGATACATGTCATCACCATCATCATTATTAACATGATTAAAACTAGAGATTTTAGAGGTTCGATGACTATCAGCAACACCATTATGACCACTAATATCATGATAACTGGGCGAATTGATAGGCGATACGAAATCAGATGATTTTTCTCCAGCATCAAATGAATGAGAATTCGAATCGAATTCTGTAGTTGATGGAATTAACTCAGAGAAAGTTGTATCATCGAAATTATCGTTTGTTGCATACTCATGATATTCCAAAGATAAAATTGAATCTCTTCGAGACTTCATGGTGTTTGAAGATTCAGTGTCAGCAGAAGTATTAAGACATGAAGAGTTTGACGAGGGTGCCAGTTTTTCACTCATCTCATTATTATTACTAACAATGACAGCAGAAGCAGCAACAGGCATGTTGGATGGATTCTCTGGACTGTTAAAAGTAGATTGAATAATTTGATCCAATGAAGAGCTGTTATAAAGTAAAAATGAAAGAAAATTAAATAATAAGCACCATTATATAAAGTGAGAGATTATGAACGAAGTCGTGACCAGTAGGGTGCAGCCGGTCGGGTGTGAGGACAAATACTCGCCGAAGACATTGGCTAGAGATCGCGCTATGTCGTGAATTGGAAAAAGTTAGAATTCATGGGCTGGCCACTGGATCGGGTCGCAGTGGCTTAATGGTCTACGAGCTCGCCGACCTTGTAACTAGTGCGTCGGTGGCACAGTGGTTAGGACTCTCGCCGACCATGCACATGGTCCGGGGTTCGAGCCCACGCCGACACACACCTGATATCTATGGTCGGCCTGCAAAATTTGGGCCACCGATATCCATGCTGAAAATTCCATACTTGTACCAAAAATACAGTGTGGAATCAAGCTGTAAATCAAAAATAAAAAAAAATAAAAAATAAATAGAAGGCCCTGGGTTCGATCCCCGGTGGGTGCGTACTGCTGAAGAGTCGCAAAGTAGGCTGATGAAATTGTTGTCCAGTACTCCCAGGTTTTCCAATGGTTCTCTAACTAATGTCAGCTCATGATGAAATCCTCTAACCAACCAAATCCCTACAAACCAACACTTGAAGTATGAACGATCAATTGTGTTTGAAAGGTCATCCAGTAAATAGTAATACATTTTCCAATAAATTAATATGGGAAATATTATTTCATTTTCACAAAAACAAATTACTCAATGACAGCTATTTGCTGGGTTAATCAATCATATGTATGCACTGAAAGTACTAAGTAAGAGACATTTTAATCCTAAGTTGAGCATGTCAGTCATTGGCTCAATGCACATGGTTCGGGGTTCGATCCCTGGCCAACGCACTCCTTTACCTCGCTAAGCCAAAAATAATGCTGGTAAAGAGGAAAGGTTGGGCGTGAGACTGACTAGCAACCCCATCCTGTAAAATAAACACTGCTACAGAAACTTCAAGCCACTAGCTTGAAGCCCTATGTTCCACTGGGGAACGTGAAGGAGAAAAAACTTAAATCACTGTCCACATCAAAACGAGGAATTAAGTAGTATCACAACAGTACTAAAATGTTGGCAGAAGAAGCAGCCAGCTAAGACAGGAATTCACGTGAATATAGAGGAGACAGAGGTGATGAAGATAACCAGCCAACCAACAACAACAAAAACCAAACACAGTCGAGGAGAGGGATAAGAAAGAGGTTATTCCCTATACTTATCTAGGCACTAGCATTTCAACCTCAGGTGGCAGTGCGGGTAACGATGTCAAATCCAGAATCGGAAAGACATGACAGACTTCCATCACTCTGAAAATTCTCTGTACTTCACTCAGCATTAACAACAAAATCTCGGTTTCCAACACCAATGTTAAGTCAATTAGTTCTTCAATATGGGTCAGAAACTTGGCACACAACTCATAAAAAGCATTTCCAACAGGTGGCTGCACACACTTTATCAACAGCTGCCACCTTCACTGGCTCCATGCTGAAGATCAGATGACCAGCGCGAAACTCTGGCAACGGAAGAACCAATCAAGAACCTATTGCTCAACAAATATATGGAAGAAAATAGAGATAGATCAGACACATGCTTAGAAGACCGTTGGGTGATATAACGCCCCCTACCGTCGTCAAAGTGTAAAACAACGGGATGGGCATGATCTAGGTGATATGGAGGCGATCGTTTCAGGAGGTGGTGAGAGTCTGTAGGCAACCGTGCAGCCTAATCTAAAGAGGACTTCAGAGAACAGGACAAATTGGCCTGTTCCATTAGGAACCTCCGGGAATAGTAATAATAATAAATACAACTCTAGTAAATAAAAAGCCTCTACCAGATGAGGAGGAGTCAGTGAGTTGGGGAAATATATTGACAAAAAATAACTCTGTTACACTTCACACATATCGTTAAGTGAATAGTCCACAATAAAAATTGGACAATAAAGAAGAAGAAAACTTACAACGAAGCCGATAACCCGATCTAGATCAATTCCTTAGGTGGTATTCAATCAAAAAATAATAATAATAAGCTGAACACACTTGAATATAATATGTAAGATTGTTGGATCAATCGAAATGAGGAATTAAAAACAATCTATGCATGCAAAAATACATAATTTTGCATGTCAAGGTTAAGTAATGGTGTGTGTGCGTACGTGTGTGTGAGAGAGAGTGGGTGTTAGTTATTTGATTAGACAGTTTTATTGAAGTCATGATGATTTCAATCCAAACTAACCTATGAATAATACACACACACACACACACATAAGAATCGAAACAGATCAACGCATAATACAACCAATCATTGCGCACAAACTTATTTGTGTCTACACTTAAAATTAAGTTACTTAGACATTGTAATCAACTGACAGAGATATAAGTGCAAAGAAACATGAGATAACTCATAATGAATAGGACACAACCATAAAAACTTTAAAAAGTAAATTAGGAACTAAACAGGTGAAGACTGGTAATACAAGTCAAAAAAAATTAGGTGTTAATGAAATTAGGGTAGTGTAACAAAGGTGATGAGTTGTCACAAACAGTTGTTAAAAGAAAAAGTTATGTAATAATATGAATAGTTTTTCTTCCTTCACGTTCCCAGTGGAACATAGGGCTTCAAGCTAGTGTGGCTTGAAGTTTCTGTAGCAGTGTTTATTTTACAGGATGGGGTTGCTAGTCAGTCTCACGCCCAACCTTTCCTCTTTACCAGCATTATTTTTGGCTTAGCGAGGTAAAGGAGTGCGTTGGCTGGGGATCGAACCCCGAACCATGTGCATGGTCGGCGAGTGTCCCAACTGCTGTACCATCGACACACCCGTGAATAGTTTGATGAGTGAGTTTTACTCAGGATACACATAGGAAGATAGTAGATAATACGAAATTACGTAAGAGTTCTGAGTGAATACAAGAATTCTAAGCATTTAAAGAACAGGAAAAGAAACAAAATTAAGTCATCAAAATAAAAAAAGCTCAAATCAAAACAAAAAACCCTTCCGTAATTTCTTATTACCTACTTTGTTTGTATGTGCATCCTGAGTATAACTCACTCATCAAACTATTCATATTATTACATAACTTCTTCTTTTAACAACTGTTTGTGACAACTCATCACCTTTGTTACTACTCTAATTTCATTAACACCTAATTTTCTTTTATTTTTTATATTTTTATTACAGCTTGATTCCACACCGTATTTTTTGGTACAAGTATAGAACTTTCAGCATGGATATCGGTAGCCCGAATTTTGCAGGCCGACCATAGATATCAGGTGTGCTTCGTCGGCAGGGGATCGAACCTCGGACCATGTGGATGGTCGGCGACAGTCCTAACCACTATGCCACCGACGCACATTCTTGACTTGTATTACCAATCTTCACCTCTGTTTAGTCAAAATAACCATAAATAATTGTAATTTTGTTTGATAGATTAGGAACGTTGACAACTACAAGGTTAACGATGTTACATTGTGATTTGGGAGATAATTTTAACCGGTTTCTGCATTTTGTAGATGATAAAAGTTATTTTTCAGTTCATAAGAGCCAGTATGAAAAGTGTAAGACTACATAAACGAAGGATATGCGTATTGAGACGGCACCTCTAACGAGAGGTAATACAATTTACTAAAAGCTATAATATGTGAAATGACTTCTGAGAAGAATACAATTTTAAACTTCTCATGGGAGACTTTAAAGCAGAACAATTTGAGGAGCAGTTCAATTGGCCTACAGATGAAACAGAACTTGACTGGAGACGACTGATGGGTGACCAGATGAAAACCCGATAATAATCTATACAGTCAGCGGTCAATAGACCAAGTCATTCAGGAAGAAGTTCATTGTTTTTACTTAGTATTTCCAGGATGCTAAGAGCGATTAGTTGGACACTGTCAGTGACATAAGGGACATTCACAATGGTCAATAAACACCCACTTTTTATCACTTTCTAGATCTCTAAAATCACCATTTTTCATCTATTTATTATTTTTTATTCCTAAGTGTTGCAACTTGATGTGATGCACTTTGTGTGAGGCTCTACACTGATAAGTCAACCAGTTAGTGGTGACTAGTCAGCTCAAACTAGTTGTGATTAGACAGTGACTATATAGAGATGAAAACAACTACAACTGATTGACATAATATTGAGTAACAAAATCATTTTCAGCCATTTAAAAACCGATCAAAACAGAAAATAAGACTATCTGAGGCCTAAGTCTGATTAATTCAGCTTCTTCACGAATATATATTAGTACACGATTCAAAACAGTTTCAATGTTTCCCACAGTCCTAAGATGAAATTCACAAATATGATATTGAGTATTGCTGTCAGATGGTTGCAGGAAACAGATAGGAAGGCTTCGACACAGGCTTCATGTTTATGGTCACTCGTCGTCAGTCAGCAAAATGTATATCTGCAAACTTGAGGGAATTCATGTTCCTTGTGAGATTCGAACCCAAGTGGCCGACCAGTGTTGCAGTTAGATACATTACCACTGAGTTATTTGTGCTCGAGATAGACATCCCGTAGGACTGACTAATCGATACATTCATGATTGGAGACAATCGACTGGAAGCCTTGGACCTAGCCTCTAGCTATTCATCCAACAACAATCCTCCACAGTACACCGTGATGGTGAGTCACCTAGCATATAATGTCCATATTGCACATTTGACTGATGGAATTCAGTCTGCGCCAAACGAAGAACTAGACGCACGGCATTTGTTACTTACTATCTAGTGTTCAATGAAAATATAAAATAAGTATGGCACCTAAAATTGACTAATATGGATGACTATTCAGTTAGAAACATGATAAAAGTACGCAAGTGAAATGAAAATGTATCAGACATACAAAACTTGTTGTAAACACTTTTATAACCTTGAATCAAAATAATAAATAATTGGATTTTGTAACATCATCACAACTGAATGTAATAATATTTTTTGACCAGTGATTACGCCCAAACTACTCTGATATACCGGATATTTAGAGAATGTTAGGGTTAAGTTGAAATGACGGAGACGTTCTTTAACTATAAATCTCTCTAACTGAAAAAGAGAATGGACAAAACAGTGTATGTCCTCCTTTTTAGTCTATATTTCGGTATCGATACTGCAGTAGCATGTAATCTTCCAAGCTGCTAATTGTCCAGTAGGTGCGTCGGTGGCGCAACGGTGGAATGCTCATCGACGACGCCAAATGTGGTTCGGGGTTCGATCACCGGCCACCGACGCACTCCTAAATATCTTGGCGTCATTCTGTCTGCTGATCTTTCTTGGTCGTCTCATATCTTGATGATTTCGAAGAAAATATTCCGTCTTACCTTCTACATTAAGAAGTTAAGACATTCTGGTATAACCCAACCCTTACTCTTACGATTCGTTAACTCTTGCATCCCGTCTGTTATTCTCTATTGTTCCCCCTTAGTTTTTCCTGGGCTACTAAAGAAGGACTATATCTTATTGAGTAGAGTGTTAAAGGTTGTCAGCAGAGTATACAACGTGCCACTTAACCAGCTTGTTAATATTCTGGTCGACAGGCACATGGACTCATGTAAAAAATGGGCGAAATCCATTTTATCTAACTCACACCACCATGCCTTTCATTCACAACTCTCCTCTTGTATCTCATCAGGCAGGAAGACCAGAAGCCTATAGAGAAAACTATATGCTCGCACTAGTAAGTACAAAAACTCAACCATACCCTACTTAGCTCGTCTTCTGTGCGATAAAGAAAGCATTGGGCGTGATACCTATAACTTATTAAATAGTCAGTAGAACAACCGGATCTCGTCTTTCCAACTCATATCATGTATACGTACAACGTTTTCTTTCTTTCTCCACTTAAAACATTCTCCTGCGGTTTTTCACACTTTGTATATCTCGACCTTTTTCGTTACCGCTTACGCCAGTAAATATGCTAGAACCTACTTTCTAACACCTTCAAACACTCTGTTCAATTTTGGCTTTGCTACCGACATGCCAATATGTTATTGTCAAAACTAACTGAGATTACCCTTAATTTATGTAGAATTTTATTTATTGTTAATGTACAAACTGGATGCAATACTGTAGTGAAATGCTGAGAATTCCATTCTGCATCACAAGTACTGTTTTGGAATAAAGCAAATTATTATTTTTATTATTACCTCCCTAAGCCAGACAGACAAAATAGGGAAAAGTTTGGGCATGAGGCTGGCTAGCAACTCGATCCCGCAAAAATAAACACCACTGCTACCGAAACTTCAAACCTCTAGCTTGAGCCCTATGTTCCACTGTGAACGTAAAGTTAAAAACAATTTCTAATAGACAACGTTTACGATAAATTCAAATGATAGCAAGGCTCGAATCGTTAGCTTCCAATCTTTAGAATTAGGTATGAACAGTAAATTTGTAGTCACTTACCACATTTAGAAAAAACAACAAATTGAACGAAGAAGCATATTCTTTTTCAATTAGTTTTTCATCTTCCGCTGGCTCTATACTAATATACAGTTCTTTACATCAGATTTTTTTTACCGATCAAGTGGTTATTTTAGTTAATCAGTTTTAGGTAGAGACGAGGGTGGGAAATTAGTAGGTTAGAAGTCATCAAAACAATTAACTAATACATGTTAGTAACAAGATATCTAAGCTTTGAAGGATAGGTGAAAGTTAGCTACGGGATTATAGATAAGTTGATTCCTAGGCGTTAGCAACAAATTGTTACATAATGAAGAAATTTGTAAAATAACGATGACTAAAAAGAATAAGAAAATTGAGTAGAATCACGTAAAATACAAACGACTTAATAGAATTAGCTAGAATTACTAAAAATTAACAAAGTCAATAGATAGTTACAAGGGGAAGAGAAAAATATCGTTTTTAGAAACTTAATACATATTGTATAGCTGTCTGTGGCAAAGATGAAGGGGCTGTACGAATTTCTTTTGAACATACAGATTTGGCTTGTTTCGATGAATTCTGATTGCCTCTGTTGTATGTACAAGTGGTACTCGTAGACCATGCGAGAGGAGGTTAGGCGATATACGATTAGATGTCCAGTACCGACGATGAGACGAGCGAATATTGAGCTGCGTATAGCTTTATTCGGACCTTTGCTAAACCAAGATGGGAGGTGTTCACAAATTCGACGATGAACTTGCCTGACAGTACTCTCAACATAACTAGCTTCTTAGGAACAGTTAAATTGGTAAATACACAAGGAAGAGGCGAAATAGGGCAGTCTGTCTTTATTTCTTGAACTAAGCATTGGTTGACTCGTGAACACATAGAATAGCTTAGGTGCGTTGAAAGTCCTTTCAAACGCCCTTCTAAGACGTTGTGATAAGATCTCGCTACTGATATTGCCCGTGAATTGTAATCTTAGAAAGACTGATTTTTTTGGGGGGGGGGACAATCGACAACTTCGACTTTTTACTGTCTGAGTTCATGTATTTGTTCACGAACTTAGCCATTATTCTACACATTTATCGATTACGTAATAAATTGTTGCTAACGCCTAAGAATCAACTTATCTATAGTCCCGCACTTAACTTTCACTCATCCTTCAAAGCTTAGATATCTTGTTACTAACATGTATTAGTTAATTGTTTTGATGACTTCTAACCTACTAATTCACTCCCCCTTCTATACCTAAAACTGATTAACTAAAATAACCACTTGACTGGTAAGAAACTTCTGATGTAAAAAACTATATATTAGCGTAGAGCCTGTCTATCTGTCTGGATTCAACATAGAACTTGGCACCGAAGTGCAGCACTTCAAGTTGCCACCTTCCAAATAGCACACAAAGGTAGACAAGAAGATGAATGGAGAGAATCAACATAGTTTGACAAGTATAAGAGTGAAACAGAATGGGTAATGGTAGAAAGGAATATGAAAGATTACAGAGACTGAATACATCTGCGCCATTGACAGCGATTTTGAGCCATGTCACCTATTGTCTCCAGCCATTGATTCCTAGAGTCCCGAGGCCCCCAGCCCAGGAGTCTGCATCTCCCTACCTGACTCAGTTTAACTGTCAAGGATTTCATGGATTGATGAGGCCATGTTTTTGTTTGGCCACCACTTACCCTTTTCCAACCTGCACCTATATCAGCTAGTAATGCCCGTCGGGGGAGGCGGTGGTTAGACATTCGCAGCACGTGACCCAGCCATCTCAATCTATGTAACTTCATAGCCTCGTCGATTGATTTTCCCTCTTTGCCCAACACTCTACGCCTAATGTCAACATTACTTACCTTATTAAACCACCTAACGTGAGACAGAGATCGCAGACATCTATGATCGAAAGCAGTCAACCTTTTCATGTCTACAACGCGTATTGGCCATGTTTCAGAGCCATAGAGAAGGACGGAGCGAACTGATGAGCAGTACACACGTCCCTTGGTTGATAACCGGATGTCACGCCTACGCCAGAGATGGTGTAAGTCAGCGAAAGCAGCTCGAGCTTTTTGGATCCGTGCTGAGATTTCGTCGCCAATCAGTGCGTTGGTGCTAATACAACTTCCCAAATAGGTGAAGTGGTCAACATGTTCTATCACTTCACTCCCTATCACTAAGTTAGGAGTTGATGTGGTCTAGTCCTATAGCAGCATCTTACATTTTGTGGGGGCGAATCGCATGCCAAACATACGAAGATTGCTGCTCAAGGTGTTCAGAAGACTCTGCATTTTGTCAGCATCCTCCCCCAACAGGACTATGTCGTCTGCATATTCTAAGTCCATAAGACTATTTAGTGTAGAGCCAGCGGATGATGAGGAACTTAGTGAAAAGGAATATGCTTCTTCGCTCACTCTGTTGTTTTTTTCTAAATGCATAAGTCGGAATTCGGAAACTACTTGCCATATTTACTGATATTTTTTCGTTTCGTCCTATGAATGCTTTTACTAATGGCTTCACTGACTGATGAGACGACGTAATATGAAAGGATACAGTACGATGAAAGATTAAGACGATAGGAAAGCTATTCAGTGTGGGTAATATAAAGTCTTCAGCATAATGATGATCACACATGAACAACCGGAAAGAATAAGAACCTATAACTCAACAAATATTTCGAAGAAAATGGAGATGAATGGGATACACGCTGAGGAGACCGTCGAGTGACATCGTGGACGCACCAGGCAACCCTTCAAGTGGAATGCGAATGAGAAACGACGAATTGATTGGAAAAATAGGTCCGAGGGTGACATGGAGAAAATCGTGTGAGGACAATATGAGAGACTATTCGCAGTCGTGGGGGGAGGGCAGCTGACGAAGACTGCGGAGAGCAGGGAAAAATGGAGACGTGATGTTGAAGCCTTATGTTCCACTTGGAACTCAAAGGAATAATAATAAAGATAATCTATACACTCTAACGACACCAATTACAAAAACACAGACAATTCAAGCTGGACAAAATAACCAATCGCTACTCTATGAAAAGAAATGAAAAAAATTGCTCTTTTTTGTTTTTAATTGTCATGTAACGATTAATATATGACAAAATCAATGACTTACTGTTTATTTATCACCTGAGAATCATTTGAATTAACAACTGAAGGAACCAAATCATAGTAACTAGATGCACGAGAATCTCCACTATTTTGAGATATACGGCCAAAAGAAGTTCTCTGTTCAAAGCGAAAACTGATTGGACGTTGATACTGGTTAGATAAAGCTTCAAAACACTTCCTATCACCGTAATCTATATTCTTTTTGTTATCATCATCAATTGAAGAATAATCGACGGATTTAATCGGTGTACGATATGTGTCATGATATAATTCAGTGCATGAATCTTCATCTGCATTAGAACCTGAAAGTATTTAGAAAGAAACAGAGAGAGAAAGTAAATAACATGAATTGACAGACGACTTACCGTATAACGTTTAGTCTGACTTTATTTTCCGTTAAAACTAAGCGTATGACTTCAATGGTGCAGTCAACAATGTCTAGTGAATTAAGTTCATTAAATTGCACTTGTATATTTGGATTTGTAATTGCTATTAATTGATTAGTCTGAAATGAAATGCTTGCATGATCCGTGAACTAAGTTTCTCATCCATATGTAAGAAGTGACTGACTGACGACTTAATATTGGCGTTAGAAATCCGAATTTTCTACTTTATGGTCAATGGAAGCTGATATCCAAACCGATTTCAGAGTAACAAAGGTCTGTCTAACCTTTCCTACCGCGGGATTTTGACATTTCCATCCCTTCCGCATGTAGTTGGAACGATGCTGACTGGTCAGATAAGTGAAGCAAGTGAACTCTTCCAAATTCCAATCTCCGACTGTGTATACATTGAAAGAACAGAGAGGGGGGCCTACATCAGATTCTGCGAACATGTACCAAGGAGCCTCCGGTTAAAAGGGCCGAATTGTTTAAGCTCTTCAATCGCCAAACACCTGATTAACACAGGACACCGAGTAGATGTGCTGGAATCATTCAAAATAATTAACAGACAAAGTACCTCAAGTCTTCTCAGATTTGCTGAAGCTATAGCAATAAAACGATTGAAGCCTGATTTATGTGTCCAAAAAGAATCCGTTGTTGGACTTCAGTTACCCTGGTGACTCACTTCTTAGTAACTCTTTGTTTTCTAATTTTATAAGCTTATCTTTTCACTCCACTCCCTCCCTTTATTTTTCGCTTCCCTCTCTTAAGAGATAATTTTTCCTGATCTTCTGAGATCTGATCACTGTATTACATCACCAACTTCTCATCTGACCTCATATGCACAAAATTGTGAAATTTTGATCTTCTCTTATCCACCTTAACAACACAACAGTTAGTAATTTTTTTTCAAGAAACTCCTCTCTACCAAGATATATATATATATATATATATATATATGTAGTGACACTTTAGACACCCTGTAAATCGCAAAGTCTTATTTTACTATGACGCTCTCACAGTATGCTTGCTAATGGACAAAGGTTTGTTAAAATTGTACACTTTTTATTTTTATTAAAAAATTCGGGTTGTACGTAGCTGATGAGAACCAAAGAAATAAACTGGATCCAGATTGTTCTGCGCCAATGTTTCTTCTTTCTTTGTTCGAACAAAGATTCAGTAATCGACTTCTCTCCGCACCTACCTATACAACTTTTGAGAATTTTGACTCTGTCCCACCCTACCTATTGTGCGGTTGTGTGTTAATATGCGTGCATTGAGATTGGTGAACTTTTTTTCTAAATTACTTGTCTTCGTAGGGTCAATCATCCTAATCTTAGCTAAATTTCCATGTCCTGACAATCCAACTGCTCCCAATGACCTATGTAGTTGACGTAACTCACAGTCATTGCAGGCTATTTTGTAAATTATATTATTTTGTCTAATTGAGTCAACAGGGTGTGATGTATACATTAGCATTCGCAACAAGAAACTCTGGGAACTGAGGAACCAGTCAAGAACGTACTGCTAAACAAATATTCCGAAGAAAGTTGAGATGATCGGATACACGCTGAGGAGACCGTCGAATGTCGTCGCACACAATGCAGGCCATCGCTTGCGCGGAACCCGAATAACAAAACGACGAGTTGGGTGTGTGTGTGTGTGTCCGAGGGTGACATGGAGGAGATCATGTGTGGAGGAGGAGAAGATGAGAGCCTATGGACAATCATGGAGCCAGATAAAGAGAACTGCAGAGAACACGACAAAATGGAGACGTGCTATTGAAGCCTAATGTTCCACTCGGAAACCAAATGAACAATAATGGTAATAATAATCACATCAACAGATACTATGCAGAACTTCTAAAGCCAATAAACACTACTCAGACCAATGTGATACTGCTAGTGATATTTCATATACTAGCGTTTTATGTTTAGATGACTGCCTCGACGGCAGAGATTAACCGGTTAGTCAATAGCAATGTTCCAAAAGTTTTTTCACCCTAACCAACAAATAAATAAATAGGAAAAAAATCATTATGTTACTCACTTGTCTTAGAAGTATGTAAACAGTCGACAGAATGAGAACGAAGTTTATCACGAAATGGAGAAGGGGGAGACTTCAAACTTTGTGATTTACTTGAGAATGGACGGGGAACAACACCGTTATTCGACGAATGAGAATTCAAATGCTGCTGGTCAGTATCACTCGCAAATCCTGACTCCGGGCAATATAATGAATAAACGCTGGAGTGTGAATCACATATGTGGGTGGTGGTATCCACTTCAAAATGTAGCTGAAAATTGTCCAGAACAGAACATAAAAGTTTCCTCATATTATTATTAGTGGGAAATAAAATAAACAAAAATGAGTATTATAAAAAATTAAATTACCAAGCAATTGTTCTACTGAGGTTGTTGAATACTCATCAGTGGAAAAGAAAGTATTAGCTTGGCACAACCATCCAACAAAAGTGACAAATTTAGCCGCTAGGACCCGATCCAGTAGCCACTCCATGAAATCCGACTTCTGGCAAATCCACGACATATCGCGACTGGCAACAGTCAATGTCATCGGGGGGGGGGCGAGTATTTGTCCTCACACCCGACGTGCTGTACCCCACTGTTAACGATTTCCCACTAGAACCACCCAGGTAACAACCTACCTGAATAGGACCCACTTGCTAGTGAGCATCATATTGATATTCAACTGTTGGTTTTAAGTGATTTGATCTGATTGGACAAAATAACTGGCCAGTATTCCCTGCTTGGTTTCCCAATGGTTCTCTAACCGATGTCAGCTAAAGATGAAATCCTGTAACCAATCAAATCAAATTAACTCCCTTCAAGAGCCAGCACTCGAATGAAAATGACAACAGCTACTCACTGTTCTAGAGTCCTAAATACTGCAGTTAGTTTCATTCCAGTAACAAACACTTATTTTTGATGTCTAGAGAAAATCAACGAAATCTGCGAAAACTGATGGTGACATAGAGGTTGCATCATTTTGATCGTATGCGTGTGGTGTTGGACCGATAAACAAAGCTTCAATGATTAACCTCTCTTTCCACCTAACTCTCACCCTATCCAACCCACACTATTTTGTGATTACGTGCAAGTGAATGCAGTGCAATGCAATGGCTGGGCTTTTTTCTAGGTTATTTAACTGAACTGAGTCAATTATTCTAGGTCTAGCTAAATTTCTATGTCCCATTAATCTAGTTGACCCCAATCTACTAGCTTGACCTATATAATTGACCTCACTGTCACCATTACGTGCTATTTGGTAAATCATAGTATTTTTCTCAATTGGATATGTTGGGTCTTTAAGCTGACAAAGTTGGTTTAAACACCACCCTAATTCCAGCCTCATTAAAAATCCTACGTAAGGCCTGTGGTGTTCCTTCCTTATACAGCAGTACTACAGAGGCTTTGAATCCTATGAATTTTTTTTGTCGTTTTTGTAATTTTCATTACCAATCTTTTTTTCTATGCTTCTTCATACATTTCCGAGTAAATTCTGCCATCAGATATGAGATCGAACAGCTGAAATCGAACAACTTAAAAACTAATCACGGTTGCAGGTTTGAAAATACAAACAGACCCACCGATATAAAACACGTTTTATGCTTTCAGTGGTGAAGACGACCTATAACCCCATGGACCAAGATATATTTTGACGTTTAACTGTGAAAAGAATGAGGCGGAAAATTGATTTCACTAATCATGCAGCTACGTAACAGGGGGTTTACTCCGGTTTGTCATCTAAGCAGTAATATTTAAATGATGTCAACCAGGAGTATTTGTTATCACATGAAACCAGCTGCAAAACTTCGACGTAAGTAAATTAGTTCCATCTGCTGTTACAGTAAAAATATTTAACCGAACTAGACTGAAGGTTAGCAGCTGTCTGCCCTGCAAAACGTATAGACAAACAACTGTAGAAGCTAAATGACACCATGTATGTATATGACGAGTAAAGTCTCTTTCGCTTAGAAGAGCGCTCGCCCCTTGTCACAAGTGAGTTTCTGTAACATCATTGCAACTTCAATGACACACATCGATCTCCTATGGTTGACAGTAGGCATAACAACCTGAGTCAGGCTTTTACACTTCAAAAAACAGTCAGAGCTCACATAAAGATCAAAAAGCCTGTAGGTGAAATTGAAGCAGCAACTGTATCTGGTAACGATTTCATATAGAAAGAAGGGAAGTGATCGGTTCATAACACCGTGAGCAGGGATATGAAGCGTAGTTGCATCGGATTAGTGGCTAGTGGGGTATTATCACTCCCCTGATTAGAATAGGAGAGATTATAAGACTCAAGAGATGTTGATTAGGATTGGAATTAATTGCGAAAATGATTCGGACTACTTGTTTGTTTTAAATTGCTTTTTCATTCCCAAAAGCAACCAGAGTTCATTTGAATGTACTTAATACGTATGCTTACCTAGTATACACTACACCACAATTCACTTATTTACGCGTAATTACCATTATTACTAATTATTATTGTGCCCTTTAGTTCCTAGAGGAACATAGGGCTTCAGCCGCACGTATCCATTCCGTTCGCTTCTCTGCCAACGTTTTCACCTGGCTCCACATCTGCCAAAATGCTTTCATCTCCTCTTCGCATTACCTGCTCCATGTCACACTCACACTGACGACTAACTCATCGCTTCCTATTCAGGTTCCACTCGAGAACCTATCGTGTGATGTTATTTGATAGTTTTCTCAGAGTACGACCAATCCACCTTCATCTCTTCCAGCCTGTTTGTTGCACAAAAGCTTGCTGGTTGGTTCGCTCCCAGAGATCCCCCACTATTGCTCATCTTTTCTGGCCATCTGATCTTCAGTATTGAGCGAAGACAGCTGTTGATGAAAGTCTGTAGTTTGTTCAAAGTGCCCTTCGTGATGCGCAAGTCTCTGATCCAAATAGTAACACTGAATTCACAATGGAGTTGAAAATCCGAATCTTATTTTTCATTCTGAGTGCTGTTGACTTCCACACAGACTTGATAGTAATGAAAGCTTGGCTTGCTTTCCCGATCCTCGATGCTTTGATATCCTCATCAGTTCCGTCCGCCTGCGGATGAAACGATGCTTCCAAGATGAGTAGGTGAAGGAGGTCGCTTCTTTCAGATTTCTCCCATTTATGTTGATTATTGTCTGCTGTTATTTCTGTTGCTGTTGGCCAAGAATTTTTATCACCTCTGTCTTATCTATGTTCACCTAAAGGAAGTCCTATCTTTGATGCTTCTTCTGCCAACTTGGTGCTTTTCACTTGTATATCCTCCAGTTTGTGGGAAATCAGACATATGTCACCAGCGAAGTCCAGATCTTCCAAGTTTTTGTGTGGGTCTATTTTATGCCTGTCTCCTCGTTGCTTGTCGAATTATCCAGTCTACCGCAATCAGGAAAATTATTGGAGATAGTAGGCAGCCAGCCTTGTCTTACTCCCGTCTTCACTTCGAAGGATTCTGTGCGTTTTCCGCTGTGAATTACTTGGCATGCAGCATTACCGTACAACTGTTGAATGAGGTGTATACTTGTTGGTGGCATCCCGTAGTAATGAATTTGTTTCCAAATTATGAGTAGTAATAGTGTTAACTGATGTACTACGAATGAGTGTATTCTTTGTGTTTCAAGTCAATTTCAACGAGTATTTTAAGTATGGTCCAACCAATACGATATAGTACTATGGCTATTCACATTAATATAAATAATAATAGTGGAACAAACACTGAGTGTTGATCCTTGTATCGAATCAATATAAATATATAAATAAATAAATAAGTAAATCACATGAATTGGCACAGAGCTACCGTGATCTGGAATTTGTTCGAAATTTTTGCACCAAAAATTACTAAATGAGTAACAAACACTTCGTACGCTATGAAAAATGATTGTTTGCATAGATGTGCGCATAACACAGACATTCTAAATTGAGTACACCTAAATCTGTCAACATGTTTGATAGTGTAAGTGGTGTTGATCTCCTGAAATCTCATATAGCATAGAAACGCTAAATAAATGTCCTTAGATTCAGCGAGCCTCAGTGAGGCTGTCACGCTTTTTCAGGGGCCAGTATCGTTATAGCGCCGCCATGCACGCTACTCTTGCCCAATCTTGTATGCAAGATGGGCTCTATTGTACCTGTGTGTGCAGTGCAAAACTGATTGACGTGATCGTTGATCATCGGTGTAGCTATGCTTACCTATGCATTATTATGTGTACTAATGATGCGAATGGTCCATCGAGGGACAGGGCTCTCGAGTGGATGATAATGCATGCCGGTCTCGTCTTGCAACAGGCAGGGATAAGAGTGTTTGGTTCTCCTGAAAATCAATGCCCAGTCAATAGGTGTATCATTGTGTGAGTAAACTTGTTCCAGAGATTAAGCGATGTATGTCTAAGTACATACCTTAAAACGCTGAAAGCGAGAATGGCTCATTAAATCAGCTATGGTTCCCTAGATCATATACACTACATGGATAACTGTGGTAATTCTAGAGCACCCGCAAGGAAACGGGTGCATTTATTAGAACAGAACCGACCGGGGCAGTTCCGGCTGTCTCTGTTGAATTCAGTGATGACTATGGATAGCTCTAATGATCACAATCGGTCTTGTGTCGGCGACGGATCTTTCAAATATGTCTGCCCTATCAATTTGTTGGTAGGTGATCAGCCTACCATGATAATAACGGGTTAATGGGGAATCAGGGCTTAATTTTGGAGAGGGAACCTGAGAAATGGTGACCACATCCTAGGTCGGCAGCGGACGAGGAAATTACCTACCCCCATCATGGGGAAGTAGTGATGAAAAATACGAATAAGGGACTCAATTAAGGCTCCGTAATCCTAATGAGTACAATTTAAGTCCTTGAACAAGGACCAATTGGATTGTAAATCTGGTGCCAGTAGCCGCGTTAGCTCTCAAGCTCCAAAAGCGTGTGTTAAAGTTGCTGCAGTGTTAAAGAAACTCGTAGTTGAACCTCAAATTCTGCAGCCGCATGTCGAAGCTGTCACGCCATTAGTTAAATCGGATCGTAGATTAACACTCACAGAAATTTACGAAATCATAGTAATTTTGTCTTTATAACTGATACATGAGCGCAAGTATATTAGTCACCCAGTATTTTATCTTTTACCCACTTTGAACCTTTACTCTGGTAACTTACCACCACATCTTGTATATAAGTATTTTAAATTATTATTAATAATAGTAATAGCTTTATTCCAAACAATACTTTTGATACGAATAGGAAATTTTCACCATGTAATAGGATATTGCATTTAATTTTCTCTTTACATAATACAGGATGCGTCTGTGGCACAACGGCAGAATGCTAGCCAAGCACGCCTCATGTGGTTTGGGGCTCGATCCACGGCCACAGACTCACTCCTCTACCTTGCTAAGCAAGTAATAAGACTGGTAAATAGGGAAGGTTGAGCATGAGGCTGGCTAGAACAACCCATTTCCGTAAAAATACACACCACTGCTACAGAAACTTCAAACCTCTAGCTTGAAGGCCTATGTTCCACTGGGAACATAAAGGAATAAAAAAACAATCCTGACTGACTGGTTTCAACACAGAACTTTGCACCGATGTACAGCAGTTTGAGTCGCCACACTTCACTCAGCAGGAAAGGGAAGAGAAAAAAGGAAAACGAAACGCGAAATAGAGAAAGTAAACAGAGATACAAGGCAAAAAGAATAGTAATATCGAAGATCAATACAGGAGTAAACAATTAAACAGGGTATTTATATTGATGGCATTTAAATATTATTATTCCCTTGGGTTGACAGTTAAATAACAATATATGAGATTAAGATTAATATGAGAATAGAACTTGTGCACTGTGGTAGAGTGTAATTCCATTATGGGTAAATTTTGTTTTGATAAAGTCTCACAGTGTTATACAGTAATGTTTACCCATAATGGAAGATTAAGATTAAAATGAGCATATAAACAATATAATAATAAAAAGGAGAATAAAAAGTTCCGTTTATTTAAGTGTTTCCCAGTAAAAGACAGAAGTATCTGATGCCTAACAACTTTTCTCATCACATGAAATGTGTGCCTGTCAAATAAGGTATATTCTACAATTTTTATACTTCAACACCCCACCTATAGCTGCTTCTAGTTCTACCTGATAAGATGGTAGGAGAGGGTTGTGTATACATAGGGTGTTAAGGTTCCCACAAGATAATATTCGCCAAACGATTGTACTAGTCTATGTGTGTCTGTCTGCGACGGTATCAGCAAGTCGGTTGAGCGACAGACACTCAAAAATACAAACGAAGGCTCTTAACACTCTTCGCCTTTTTCTTAAGTAGTTCAGGTAAGATTAAGGTGGTGAGATGGGCAGGGGGGACACAATAAAGACGAATAGTAGTATACATGAATTAACAAATTAACTATGTGATATCACAGTGTCTTGAATTACTTAAGTAGAATGTTGGACGAAATATTATTTTAGAAGCTAACATTATGTGGGAATATATATATATATATATATATATATATAGCGTGCCAAACGTAAGTTTTGGTCTACACAATACCTAACTTTCTCTTACCTTAGAGCTAACAATATCGTTCGTTTCGCATATACATGTATATTTCAGCACATAAACACATGTTTACATAATTCGTCACTGTCATATGTTATTGTCTGATAAGAATTCTTTAAATAAATAGGATTTCATGCTACCTTAATATCTAATTGTTCTCAGTCTATTTAAATTTATAGAGTAAACCAGTCGTGCGAGTTCATAATACGCAGTAATTTATTGATTTCAGGATACCAGTTTCAAAACTCTTACAACTGGGGAACTTGAATATTGATGGTAAAACTGAAAATGCGGTTGCATAAACTGGCAACCGTGGAGTCAGCAGATAAAAAGAGGAACGCAGGAAATAGGATAAAGTGGAGACGTACAGTTGAAACCCTTTATGTCCCAAACGGAGCCCAAGGGGACGATAATAATAATAATATAACATAAACTTGAATAAACCTTTATGCATATAGACAATTATGGACATCAGTTTGATAACTGGGATAATGTCGAAATCTTAGACAGAGGAAATACCAAAAGTGCAATCAGGGAATTCCTAGAAGTCTGCTACTCAAACGAATATGCAATCAATAACAAACACGTTAATATAGACCAAATATACCAACTAATAAAAAGTAAATCAGGTGACCAGAAAGTTCAAAACCCAAGTCAATAGAAAATGATGAATAGATATGTAAAGATGGTTACAGAGAGACACAATTATACCACTCAAGGAAAATATTTAAATCATTTCACTTTATGCTAAAAATTGCTGTGAAAGGGGATGTTGTCCAGAAGGGGGACGACAAAAGCTCCGCAACTAAACCAACCAGCTCAGAGAACAGTATTAATTGCAAACCTTCATTTTGTATTGCATATGCTAGCTTTCCCAACTACTTTTGAATACTGGGTGACGCAAGGAATATTGTACGCGTCGGTGATGTGCAGCGGTAGAATGCTCGCCAACCACGCCTGCTACGTGGTCCACGGTTCGATCCCTAGCTGCCAACGCACTCCTAAACCTCGCTAAGCCGGTGGAAAGCCTGGTAAATTTGGAAGGTTTAGCGTTGAACTGGCAACTCCACCCAGTAGAAATGCAACCACTGCTATTGAAACTATAAACCTTAAGCTTGAAGCCATTTGTAAAAAATAATAATAATAATACAAGCTATACATACACACAGTTAAGCTAACATTTTTGAAGTTGAAAAATATGAATTACACTTCTAAGACAAACTCACATGTTCTGTCAATGTTTTCCATAACTTTGAGCCTAGTTTTGGATAAGAAACAGAATGATAGACATCTGCTAACGGTTTTGGTGGATACATACCAGTTGGAATGGACTCTTCCACTGACGAGGATGGGAATAGATGATTATTTGTTGTTGCATGATCTAATCCAATTAGTGAGCGAAAATTTCTAAAACTCAAACTAGAACGAGATAATCCCTATAAATGAAACAAAGGTTAGTATTCATTAATGAGTAATGACCAAAAACAGTAATTATACAAATAATTAACTTGTCTTGTCTCTAAGATCCTAGTCCAAGGGTGACATGGAGGAGATCGTAATATGGCTAGATAATGGTGCTTTTGCTTCCAAATAAATAAAAAACTGCCTAGTTTTACTACATATAGCAGAAAAATGTCAAACAGGATAAGACGTACGTTTAGAGTTCCACTTCTAGCCGCTAAACGCCAAGTAACCACCATATAAATATCGCAGTAGCTAAGTGAAGAGCAAAACAGGAACCCTACAAAGCTACGCATTTGTAGGTATTAAGCAAGCTATATATCTCATCGAATTTTCCGTAAAAAAAGCCATTCCCTGATTACACATGCCTTTAGATGCCATGTATTTGCAAATTAACTTAGAAGGATACGGCTACATGATTATATTTGGTATGAAAATGGTACATTGACTGACTGACTGATTGGATGGTTTCGACATAAAACTTTACACACATGTGCACCAGTTCGAGTTGTCACTCTTCTTACATGTACCACACAAAGCAAGTGAAGACAGTACAGACAGATTCAAAAGACACACAGAGATAATAAACAGAAACATGAACCGAAAAGAATAGTCATATGGAAGAAAAATATAATTTTAATGTATCTGATAAATCACAAAGGCTGAATGCAATCTGCGCTCGTCATTCACAACGATGTGTGCGTCGGTGGCACAGTGGTTAGGACTCTCGCCGACCATGCACATGGTCCGGGGTTCGAGCCCACGCCGACGCACACCTGATATCTATGGTCGGCCTGCGAAATTTGGGCTACCGATATCCATGCTGAAAATTCCATACTTGTACCAAAAATACAGTGTGGAATCAAGCTGTAAATCGAAAAGAAGGAGTTTGACCCATATCGCCAATTATCTCCAGTGTTCATTGGTTTTCACCATTCCGAGGACCTCAACTAGTCGTCACTCAAACTAACTGTTATTGTGGATTCCACTGACTGATGATGAGGCCATATTTCCGTTTGATTACCACTAGCTAACTCTTTACCAACCTCATCGCCCGTCGGTAGAGGAAGGCGATGGCTAGGCTAGACTAAGCTGGACTAGGAATGCCTAACACACGTCCTAACCATCACAATCAGTGTAAATTCACAAACATGTCGATTGATTTCCCCTCCCACCAACTTAGAACTCGACCTAGGCCTAAACTCAACATTGTTCATCCTATTATACCACTTCAAATTGGAGATAGAATACAGACATCGATGATCAAAGACAGCTTGCAGGTCTTTTCATGTCTCCCACTTTCATTTAGCAATACTGAGCAATAGGTTATTTGTTTTACTTAGGGTACTTCTAAACACATTGGATCATAATTCTTCACCGTAAGCTTAGCTAATGCCCTTTTGATAGCTAAGACTGATGCATATTCTGTTCTTTGAACTTGTTTAATGAAGGGTTCATCCCCGTGGAAGGACTATTCTCTATTCTATCACTTATATGCGAACTTCATTAAAAACTTCCCATGGTTTGAGTATAGTGAATATTCAGGTAATTTAGGAGATTATGTGATGAAACTGAATCCTTTTCAGGTACAGTGTAACAGTCAATTTCACCTTTAGGCACAAATCTGACCTAAACAAACTGGTTAACACTCACAAGGTATGCAACACAGATGGCACTGAAATAGAAACCAAGTCAGAAATTAAATACCTAGGAGTCATTCTATCTTCTGATCTTTCCTAGTCGTCTCATATCTTGATGATTTCTAAGAAAATATTCCGTCTCTCCTTCTACCTCAAGAAGTTAAGACATTTTGGTATAACCCAACCCTTACTCCTACAATTCGTTAACTTCCGTATTCTGCCTATTATTCTCTATTGTTCCCCCTTAGTTTTTCCTAGGCTACTGAAGAAAGACTATACTTTATTACGCAGGAAGCTAAAGGTTATCAGCAGAGTATACAACGTGCCACTTAACCAGCTTGTTAATATTCTGGTCGACAGGCACATGGACTCATGTGAAAAATGGACTAAATCCATTTTATCTAACTAACACCACCATGCCTTTCATTCACAACTCTCCCCTTGTATCTCATCAGGCAGGAAGACCAGAAGCCTATAAAGCAAACTGTATGCTCGCACTAGTAAGTACAAAAACTCAACCATACCCTACTTAGCTCGTCTTCTGTGCGATAAAGAAAGCATTGGGCGTGAAACTTATAACTTATTAAATAGCCAGTAGAACAACCGGATCTCGTCTTTCCAACTCATATCATTTATACGTACAATGTTTTTCTTTCTTTTTTTTCCTTTTCTCTCTCTCTTTTCTGTTATGTGCTGCTTTGTTTCTTTCTTCTGCTTACGCCAGTAAATATGCTAGAACCTACTTTCTAACACCTTCAAACACTGTTCATTTTTGGCTTTGCTACACGGATATGCTAATATGTTGTTGTCAAAACTAACCGAGATCACCCTTAATCTTTGTAGAATTTTATTTACTGATAATGTACTAACTGGATGCAATGCTGTAGTAAAATGTTGAGAATTCCATTTTGTATCGCAAGTACTGTTTTGGAATAAAGCTATTATTATTATTAAAAAAAACCTTGATATACCTTTGATTTCAGCTAATCTGATTTCATATTATGAATTTGAGGTGTCAAATTGGTTTGTGAGATATCATACAGTAAAAAAACTATATCACTGTATTTCATGTCAGGTTAAAAAAAGACGGTTGCAGCAAAAAAAATTTTTTTTTCGCGGAAGTCATATCAACTAGGCTGGCTATACACACCCATGTATTTATAGTAAATTGGGCGAGAAAGTCCCAGGACTATTTCCAGTCAAGGGTCAAATCAATAAAATTGCAAATAGGGAGTGAAATGTGATCATCAACAGGAAGATCGGATAAAAACGTTCTAGGATCATGATTACTGAGAAGATTTGGTAGGAAAGGCATTAGGATAATCACTTTTGAGAAGATCGCATTTTTATGATGACCATCATTGGGTAGAGATCACAGTTGGACGTATTTCTTTTTGAGACATAGCTTGGATCACTGTTGCCTCAGCTACGCTCAGATGCTTTGCTTTCATTCCCTTTGAGAGGTTTGATCTCACATAGTATATAAATTTGAAGAACATTCCAAGTGGAGCTGGATGTCTTGGTTTCACTAGATGTTCTCTTACCGAAATATACACACTCACTTGCGTCCTCCCTTTGCTAACCAGGTTGGATACTGTTCCTCGTTCTGCGTTTTACCAGCGGATGCATGGTACCGACCATGGTACCGTCTTTATTTGGTACCTACTACAGTTTATATACTTCCCAGAAAAACTATTTTGAACTATGTTCATAGGACCAAAATTCCTAAGTGACTTTGACAAATAAAAATTAGTTGAAAATAAAATCACACTACAAAAGACTTACGCTTTCAAAAGATCTTCGAATTTTCGACCCACACTTCCAGAATTCACGAAGTTCAACATGCGTTATCCAAAGGGATGAACTTTTACGCAGTAGTTCATCTTTAATTTTGGTAAGTCTAATTATGGGACAATTGGATGCTTCATCTGTAAACGAACAAAAGCCAGTTTCAGCACGTGACACATGAAGTTGCGAAAGTAAAATTCCAGCGGCACGAAGAGTTGATACAGCTCTTTTCAGGTATATATGTTCGACCTATACAAGCGTCATAGTCAGAAGATAAATATATAAATAGAACCAAGTGAGAAGAGAATAAATAAGAACTAGAGATAACAAATCTGTCTTTTTTTACATTAAAACCTCAATATTTGGGGTCTTACAACTAGTAACAATCTATAATTCTCCAAAGTGGCGATTTGAAAAATGTTATATCCGTGGTAGAGTACTCGCCAAGGTTCGATTATCGGCCAATGCACACTTAAAGCTCACTTAGCTGGTCATAAGACCAGTAAAAAGGAAGAGATGGGCGTGTGGGGTTAGCTCCCCCATCTCGTGAAAAACCACTACCGCTACCGAAACTTCACAAAGCTGAAGTTTGAAGCTCCCTGTTTCTCTAGGAATGTAAAGGAATGAGAGAAGAAAAACATGCTCAAATATTTTTTGAGATATGGCCATAATAATGCTCATCACTAAGGTGACGAATAAATGCATACGGATTACCAGAAACTAGTCAACAACTAATGATTTGATGAAGACATCTAGTGCAGTACATTTAAGAACCATAATTGAAAAACCGCATGAATTTTTTCATGAGTGATATAATTGCGTCTTTCGATAACCATCTTAACATATAGACAATTATGGACATCAGTTTGATAACTGGGATAATGTCGAAATCTTAGACAGAGGAAATACCAAAAGTGCAATCAGGGAATTCCTAGAAGTCTGCTACTCAAACGAATATGCAATCAATAACAAACACGTTAATATAGACCAAATATACCAACTAATAAAAAGTAAATCAGGTGACCAGAAAGTTCAAAACCCAAGTCAATAGAAAATGATGAATAGATATGTAAAGATGGTTACAGAGAGACACAATTATATCACTCAAGGAAAATATTTAAATCATTTCACTTTATGCTAAAAATTGCTGTGAAAGGGGATGTTGTCCAGAAGGGGGACGACAAAAGCTCCGCAACTAAACCAACCAGCTCAGAGAACACTATTAACTGCAAAACACTACTTACACGTAGACGAACAAAAACATGACCCGAAAAGAAAAGTCATATGGAAGAAAACTATAATTTACTGCATCTGATGGAACACAAAGGCTGAATGCAATCTGCGCCCGCCATTCACAATGAGGAGTTTGAGCCATATCACCAATTGTCTCCAGTCTTCATTGATTTTCACCATTCCGAGGACCTCAACTAGTCGTCGCTCAAACTAACTGTTATTGTGGATCCCACTGACTGATGATGAGACCATGTTTTGGTTTGATTACCACTAGCTAACTCTTTACCAATCTCATCGATCCTATGTCAGCTAGCATCGCCCAATACATGTCCTAACCATCTTAATCGGTGTAACTTCACACACTTGTTGATTGATTTCCCCTCCCACTAACCTAACACTCGACCTAGGCCTAAACTCAACATTGTTCAACCTATTATACCACTTCACATTGGAGATAGAACAAAGACACATGTGATCAAAGACAGCTAGCTGGCTTTTTCATGTCTTCCACTTTCAATGGCCAAGTCTTGCTGATAGCCAGGCATAAAGGAGGATAGAGCGGACTCCTGACCAGTACACATGTCGTTTGGTCTATAGCCCAGTTGAATATCACTTCCACACCAGAGAAGGAGTAAAGTGGTATATGCGAAACGAGCCTTCTGTATCCGTGATGAGATTTCATCAGCGATCGACACGTTGTGGCTGATGCAACTCCCCAAATAAGTGAATTGGTCAACACGCTCAACCATCATTTTACTCCTGCGTAGCTTTAAGTTACGAGTCAATGTAGTACAGAATAATGTCCCTATTTGTAGAAAGAAAAAGGAACATTATTGTAATTTGCAAGCTATTAACCACAAAAAGTCACTGATTTCTTTTACTCTCTGACTGATCACCCCCTCCCCGTCCCTACATACGACAACACATAGTCAAATCATAATGTAATGTTTTGAGTAGAGAAAAAAATGGTGCATGCAACTGATTGGTTGAATTATTAAAGTAAAACTTGGCACAAAAGTGCATCAGTCCAAGTTCTTATACTTCAGTAAGCATACATGAATATATAGGAAAGAAACATAATGACGATACGAGAGAAAATGCATGACAAATGAACAAAACAAGAAGTTCAGCGTAAAGACTCTTCTCGTTGAATTCATTTTCTTCGTTAGGTGTACAATCGCATTTATATACAATCTCCTCTTCACGAAAGAGAGTATAAACAGAAGTGATGAGTTGTTGTCAATATTAGTCAGTGGAGGAGAGGAGTTGAATAAGCGTACCGTTAAAGATGAATAATTTAATGAATGAGTTGTAATCAGGATGCACACAGAGACGAAGTAAAATATGGAATTATATTGTGGTGAGAGCTGTCTGCTAGCCGAAATTGGTAGACACTAATTTACATCAGTGTTTACGTCCCAAATCTTGGTCATGAGAAAAAAAGACAAGAACAAACCCTAACCTTGAGGAACTCAACAGCCAATCACAGCAGGCTTTGCGTGGGCGGACACGATTGGCAGATATATGGCCTGACATTCAAAGAAATGGCCACAAAGAGATGACAGAGAATAACTTTCAGCGAGAAAACAGCCAATCAGAAGACGCTGTTTCTCTGTTAATAATAACGAATAATGTCTGTAGGTTCCCTCAATAAACGATCGGTTGCCTGGCCCTTGTCTTCTGTGGTTACAGTATAAGTTCTAAAAAAATACAACTGCAACAATCCAGCAGTACACTGTGATATTCCAAAAGTTACGGTAGTCTCTCACTGACCCTCTCCATCGATAACTTATAGCCAGATGTTATATATGTCTCCGTCAATTACTTGATTTCTGAGCTCGCCAAATGGGGCAATATTTCTCCATGTGTTTGAAATTAATGCTCTCTAGGAACAAATAGGTTATCTAGAGAAAATCTCAAGAGATAATCATTGTTATCGGTTATTCAGTAGCGGACTCCACAGGCACGCCTAATAAATATACTTTTTGGACCAGCTCAGCTTCCTCACTTTAATACTAAAATTAGCTAAGATGAGTATTTCTGAGATTATTTCCTTTAACAGAAAATTAGAGTTTTTGGTAAAACGCATTCTCTACTTTGTTGGAGTTACGGTTAGCAGGGTCAAGAAGCGAAGATTACAAAAATTCTAAACCTTACAGATACATTCAGTCGGACAAACGTTAACCAGGAATTCAATGGAGCAGAGACATTCTTGCTGCAAAACTCAATTTTATCCTAAAATTAGAAAGTTCACGAGATCGAACCCGAAAATTTCCTGATATCTGTAACGTAGACATTTGTATCAGCTTAAGAGAAAGAGAGAGAGACAGGCGAAGCAAGATGAAGCTGCGATGTGTTTACTGCTCGTTTAGCGATTAAATACAGGCTATTTCGGCTAGATATTTTCAACTGCATTCATCGAATTCAGTTATCTAGATTACTACACGTATCATCATCGATATTTAACTCATTTTTATCCACACGAATTGATTGTGGTGAACTGGATCACGCCCCAGGTGGTAAGCAGCGGGAAGATAGAAACATACTGGACCGATAAGAGAACTTGCACTTCACGAACATATTATGCTGAATGTCATACAAACTCGAAGATCTAAAGGTGAGAACCAATAAGTTGATAGAAGTAGTGAAGACAGGACTTGTAGGGAACATATAGTAGACAAGTGATGAAGATACCTGGTCACCACCACCACCAACAACAACACGCGGCAATCATTATCAACGGTAGAAATTTGAAGAAAGTCACTTCTTTCATTATCTAGGAGGTATCGTTTCAACCACACACACAGCAGGGATCAAGATTTCAAAGCCAGGATGGGGAAGGCAAGAGAGACGTTCGATTACCTGAAATTGGTGAGGAAATCTTCTACAGTCAGCCTAAAGAACAAGATTAGAATCTCCAATACTAATGCTTCTATATGGTTCATAGACTTGACATGCCACCGGAAGCATTTCGAACAGGCTTCAGACTTTTATCAACAGTTGCCTCGATACTGAAGGTCAGATGGCCAAAACGGATTTGCGACAAGGTAGTCTGGAAACAAACCAACCAAAAATCTGACACACTGGGGAGTGGTGATAGGACCCAGCATAAAATAGCTTATCATCCTTTCTCATGAGTCATGTGATTTATCTTGTGATGGAGTTACTATGTGAACAATTCATCGTCTTTTGTTTCACCATGGTCTTTGTCGGATCATCAACCAATCAGAATAGACATTTCCTGCCAATAAGAATAGTCTATTCAGAAGGTTGTAAGTCTATTGTATTGTGATAAATTAAACATAAAAATATGTTTTGTTTTCTAATAGATGTATAATAAAATATCTTAAAGTCACAGGCTGGCCTTCGTCTTTTGACACTTGCGTGGTTCAATGAATCGGAAGTCGAGTTCATTAGCGTTATAGTTATTAAGAGACGCAGACATGACAAAGTAGCGACGGTTCAGGTTCAGTTATAACAAGTGGAGATCTTCGAGTGGAACGCGAATGGGGACGAAGAGTTGGGTGTAGGTCAGAGGCTGACATCGAGGAGATTGTGTGAGGAGGATATGAAAGCCTATGGGGAATTGTAGGGTCGGCTAACAAACAATGTAGAGAAGAGGATAAGACGGTGGCGTGCTGTTGAAGCCCTATGTTCCATTCGGAACCTAAGCAAATAATAATAATAATCCACATAAATCCTTTTCACACAACCACTGCAAACCGTAAACATAAAATAACTAAAAACCAGCAATTAGATAGTAACGTAACATGAACTGACCTTTAATGTCCCCATCGCCGAAGTTACCTCGCATTTTCCATTAGGCGATTTAATTATATCGTTAAGCAGACAAGTTTCTAGTTAAAAACAATCAAAAGCATACGAATTGTTAGTTGAGTGGACAGTTTGAAAAGTAATTGCCAAACAATTTCAATTGATACTAAATATCCTGCAATTTACCGAAAAAAATGGACCAAGATAATATTTATGTCAAACACGTTCCCATTTAGCAAAGAGATGAAACCCAGTGAATGAGAACAACCAACGCGCTGACAATGAAGTACTAAAAACAATGACTTGAATATCAAACTTAACATTACTCTTAATAAATTCATTTGCCAGTACTATTGGCGCAGACATTATATCCAACTGGCTATTAACCAAAGGACATGTGTACTGCTCAGGAGTCCGATCCGTCCTCTTTTATAGCTGGTTATGAGCAAGACATGATCACTGAAGGTGGAAGACATGAAAAGGCCGACCAGCTGTCTTTGATCATCGATGTCTGTGTTCTATCTCCAATTTGAAGTGGTATAATAGGTTGAACAATGTTGAGTTTAGGCCTAGGTCGAGTTCTAGGTTGGTGGGAGGGGAAATCAATCAACAAAGGTGTGAATTTACGCCAATTGAGATGGTTAGGACATGTATTGGGCATGCCTAATCTAGTCTTGTCTAGCCATCCCCTTCCTCGACCGACGAGAGATGTTAGGTGACATGGGATCGATCAGGTTGGAAAAGTTAGCTAGTGGTAATCAAACCGAAACATGGCCTCATCATCAGTCAGTGGAATCCACAATAACAGTTAGTTTGATCCACGACTAGTTGAGGTTCTCGGAATGGTGAAAACCAGTGAAGACTGGAGACAATTGGTGATATTGCTCAAACTCGTCGTTGTGAGTGGCGGGCGCAGATGCATCCACTCTTAGTGATTTATCAGATGCAGTGAAGCTCTATTTTTCTTCCATATGACTATTCTTTTCGGGTCATGTTTCTGTTTATCTAAATGTAGGGAGTGTGTCAACTCGAACTGGTGCACATGTGTGCGAATTTCTACGTTGAAACCAGTCAGTCGGTCAGTCACTATTGGAAAATAATTGAAAATAAATAATTGCACGAAATTGTTTTGTTATGCCAACTGAGATGAAACTATCGTATGAGTAGCGGAAAAGAACATAATTATAACTACGACAGTATGAATAGCGCAAAAAAAGTATGTCATAGAAAAGTGTAAACTCAGTATAAAGACAGGAAAAACGATAGTTTAAGAGTAAAAAAATAGAATAGGGAAGCATTTTCACCAAGTAAATTTAAAGAAGCAATCATTATCTTTGATTAATTTTGACAGTGAAAGAAACTGACAATTATTTTGATTTTCACTAATGTAAGTGTACAACTTGAGCATTGCGTTAGAGTGTAATTCCATATTAAATAAGTGTATCTGAAATAACGCAGTGATTCGGTATTAATAAACAGAGGATGTTTCCAGTATAAATTATTGCTTATAATCATATCAAATTAGTCACAAATTTTTTCATAATAGGTCTTCTTCTTTGTAAGCACCTCTCATATCTCCAGTATAGGCGCTGGATCATTTTGATTGTATGCATGTGGTGTTGAATCGATGAATAAAGTTTCCGCGATTAATCTCTCCCTCTCCATTTAACCATATCACTCCTTAATACTCCCCTCCCCCAAATTTTGTGATGTTATGGCATAGTTCTTTTCAAGGTTATTTAATTGAGTAGAGCCAATCATTTCACGTCTGTTTAAATTTTTATATTTCAATAATCTAAATTACCCCGACCTACTAGTCTGATCTATGTAATTGGCCACACAGCCACTACATGGCATTTTGTAAATGTTATTTTCCTTAATCGGATCTATCGAGTCCTTAAGCCGACAAAGTTTATCTCTGAGAGAGTTGGTTGGTTGGTTTAAATGCTACCCTAATTCCAGTTCCATTGAGAATCCCACGTAAGGCCTCTGACATTCCTTCTTGATACGACTGTATTACAGAGACTACGTATTCTATGATATTTTTTGTCATTTCCATTATTAATCTTATTCCTTCTGTAGGTCTTCATACACTGTTGAAAATATGGTGGGTAGTTATTCACTAGTGATATTTTCTTTATTTGTTTGGTTGGATTATTTAAATCTGCCCGACTATACAGACATTTAACTAAACCTATCTTTACCAATTTTCAGCTGTATCTAATAATGCTTGAAGCAACTCAGTTGCATAGTCACTCAAGGTTATGATGCGCTAACAAACACAACTATTTTCTATTTTACGTGACCGCCTCTTTGTTTCTTCAAACCAGTCAAACCACCAGCAAACAGCAAGCAAAGTGGCAGCCTCTGAAACGATATTTGCAATACATATCCAAACCCCACTTTAAGTAACTTTTCCCAAGCAAAAATAATTCGCTGAAAGATAACCACTCATGTAGCATCTGATATTTCAATTCCATACATTGAGTTGCTACTTAATACAATTATTTCTGCTTAAACAGAGATCACTAGGTATCCATTTAATTGACGTTTTTAGTTTGTGGACGCAAGCTCTCACAGACGTAGAGCAGAAATACAAGCACTGAAGTGCACTAATTGTTAAGCCTAACGATGAGTTCAACATCTCAACGATACTTCAGTTTCTTTTAAAAGCATTCTAACCTTCTTACAAACTATGAAGTGGAAGTTAGATGAAAACTGAAGAGAGAAGTCGTGACCAGTAGGGTGCAGCACGTCGGGTGTGAGGACAAATTCTCGCCAACGATGACATTCGCTAGTGGTCGCGCTATGTCGTCGATTGGCAGAAGTTGGAATTCACGGGCCATTGGAATGGGTCCCGGTGGCTTAATGGTCCACGATCTAGCTCACCTTGTAACCAGAAGATCCTGGGTTCGAACCCCGGTGGGTGTGTACTGCTGAAGAGTCCCAGACTAGGCTGACGGAACAGCTGTCCAGTACTCCCAGCAGGTCTTTCAATGGTTCTCTAACCAATGTCAGCTAATGATGAAATCCTGTAAAACTGAATTGTTTCAGTACTCTAATAGTCTTTTGTTTTACTGTCTTTTGAACTCCCCAACTAACTACGCTTTGTTTTTTAAAATATAGACTGCTTTTTTAATCAGATATCTATACATATGTGTATACATCTTAAAATTTCATTCACCTACTTATCACTGTTTCAAAATCTAGTCTACATCTACACCGTTTGAATTCGAAAAATAGTTGCTTTAATAAAGCCACCCAACAGGGTGATATCTAACATGGTGATTTTAGTATGCATTCTCCTTTATGTGGTCGATAGTGTGTGGCATCCTTACTATGTTTTGTAAATACTTTCATATGACTCATATATTAATGGCCTTATTCACGTGAGTCTTGTCCACAGCCTTCATTTATCCGAGAATGTCTACAGAAAAGATTGAAGGACGAGTGTAAATATCCGACCTATATCAATGAACTAAGAAGAGCTTAGCTACATGAGTCATAAAACCATGACCCCGAACCAACGACAACTTGTGCCCCAGGATTCGAAGAAAATAAATGTCATGAATAGTTTATGATTACCAGAAGTTATGTGAATCAGGAATGCCTCCAAAGCCTCAGGATGGTCGGGGGTGGGTGCCTTGCGCTGCGGGTTGGCCACCCCTCCGCACACCTCTTGAAATGCTCCCATATGACCGGGCGTCTTACATAGCCTCTCCTGAGGAAGTCCTACTCACTGCCTTCACGTGGCGGAGGTGTTTCTCACCAAAGTGAGAGGGCGAAAGCGGATGCCCGGCGCTCTCCACCGGGTTGACTGTCCATTGGATGACGGTCTAGGGGAGATGGCTAAACCCTGATTCCAAACCTCCAACGACTGGCGTATGAAGCTCACTGGAGCTCACCGGCAGACGTATGGACAAAGGGCTTGTTGGATGTCTGGCCCCATTCAAAAAGGCGTATGAACCGAACTCCGGTCACCGGCTGCCAATGGATAGTGGACTCCTTACTCCACTCCTACTGCCTTGTAGGTCACACTTGGCTGTGTAAAGGCTAGAGCTGCACTCTCAAACAAAAGGCCGAGCGATGCTGGGGACATCACTCGTACCAAATTCCCATGAAACTTCATGAACTCTCTTACAAATTGCCGCGCCTGGGCAGCGATGATTCGAGACGTTCATGAAGCCGGCTGATCCTCCCGTAGGAGATAGCCGAAGTAAAGTAAAAAGTAAGTAAAGAATCAGGAATGGAAATGTTTCTAGATACGAATATCTTTTACACTTATAAAAATCTTGGCACTTTTTACACTTCGGTAGAAATTTATATCAACACTCAAATAACAGTTAATACTATCCGACTTGGGCCGAATATAGTGATAAGAGTAAACGAACACTTGTTGTGTTACTATTAAAGAAGTCATCAAATAAGGTTAATAGAACAAAGCAGCAATATATATATATATATATATATATATATATACATATGAATGACTTACGTCTTTCAATGGAGCACAACTTAGCTTCAGTTTCTTCTAGATCCAACTGAATATCTGAAATTAATAGTATTAACATTACAAAACAACTAACCTTTAAGTGTACGTGCTGGGTCATGAAGAAAGCTCATTGGGTACACCGCACCAGTGATATCACCCCACAACGTTTGAATTTCTCTAAGCCGACTGGACACATCAAACTCAGTGGATTCTTGAACTGAATCAGAAGAGTAAATGATTGGAGGTTTGCAGTTTTCACCAGATATATCCAAAAGTTGATAAGCAAGAGAACACAAGCGATCGAAGTCAACCTCTCGATCTTTCATATGTCCAAAGTAGTTCTGAATATAAAAATTTTTGTTGTTAATCTCCTCAAAAATAACAGTAAAATATGAGTTTTGAAACTAATTTTTGTATCAGTTTTAAGTCCGATGATAACGGACAAAGGCTTGAAAAATAAGTAACCTTAAATTGCTAAAGCTGATGACTAAAGTGAAAAATTTACACGAAGTAAAAACTGTTGGTGAAGATGAATTCAGATGTTATAGACAACTGCATAGTTAGTTCACGACACCGAAAAGGGGATTGATTTTTACGCGATGATTGCAGATATTCCTCTTATCTTCTTTATTTCTGAAACCGACATCCTCGTTTCAACACTAGGATAGATGTAGTAAACTGTCACTTGAACACTGTATAGTGAAATGTGACATGAAAATAAAGAGATTGCGAAAACCAACATCAACTTCGCAAACAATATGCTAAGAGATTCGAAGGTTTGATTGACTATGCATAAAATACAAATAAATACAACCGAAACAGTTTAGAACCTAAATCGAGAGTCAACTGGCTGGAGAATATAGTCTATACTGATAAAATAGTTTTTAAGTCACTCAAAATTGTTTAGATAACAACAGGTAACCTATTTGGAACCATAAGTAGCAATCGAGAAAGCAAGCGTAGATGCATGGTTATAGATATATTACGTTCGTCTTTTTATTTGATTCCTTTGCGTTCTGAATGCAACACAGGGCTTCAAGTTTGAGCTTTGAATTTTTAACAGCAGTGGTGTTTATTTTTATGAGATAGGGTTGCTGGTCTCGAACTCAACCATCCTCCTTTGACGGGCTTACTAGCGGCGAAGTGAGGTTTAGGTATGCACCGGTTGGGGACCAAACTCTGGGCCACAGGCGTGATCGGAAAGCGTTCTACCGCCGCACCACCGACACACATATACTAGTAGTTGATATGAGTTGTTGGACATCACTCACATTAACCACTAATGCCTGCTAGCCAGATTAAAATGAGACATTATCGAACCAATGTCACTCAGTGTATCTTGAATAACTAAGAGATGAAATTTCTGAGTGAAGCGTGTATGAACCAAATCCCCGATGTGACTCAGCTGTCCTACGTGGACTTTTTAATGTAACAGATAGTTAGTAAAATTAACTACTAACATATGCAGTTGTATAAGAACCTGGAGGTGATTAATTAAAAGTTAGGTCCTCATCGTAATTAGTCACCCTTCAACAGTGAATTGGAGTGATAAATAAAAAAATTTTCCTTTATGTTCCCAGTGGAACATAGGGCTTCAAGCTAGACGCTTGAAGTGTCTGTGGCAGTGTTTATTTTTACAGGATGGGGTTGCTAGCCTCATGCCCAACCTTCCCTCTTTACCAGCATTATTTCTGGCTTAGCGAGCTAAAGGAGTGCGTCGGCCGGGGACAGCACCTCGGACCATGTGCGTGGTCGGCGAGCGTCCTAACCGCTGTGCTACCGACGCGAATTGCAGAGTAAACACTTCAATTCCGTGGATGTGTTGATGAATACCAAGACGAACGATATCTACATTAAGTGCAAAGACAAGTACACTAGCATACCTAACATTATTATATTTCTCTTTACTTCTGTTATGTGTGCTATCATGAATGGTGTTGACAAACTTCTGAATATTAACCTATTCGTATCAGGAAATAAAACATTTATGCATCGTAAAAGCAAAAATAATAGTGTTTGATCTCTTCCCAAGTTAAAAAGTACTTAACTATCAAGATTGACACTAATATTGAATAAACAAGTACAGCAGAAGACAGAAGTAAGTGGAGGGAGACGTGCAGTTGAAGCTCTATGTTCCACTATGAACCCAAGGGAGCAATAATAATAAAATTGAATAAGCATCCTAAGACAATAAAAAGTTATTTAGTGTTTAGTTAACCTGAGTCATGCTATATACTAGAATTGCACTAAAACTAATCATACAAACACGGAAATATGGATCAGTGTTTCGAGCCAGTGACTTTTAACCCGGTGCATCACGCTTCCTTATTATACCTAGACGGATTTCATTAAAGTACACATATTGCCATGTAAAAACAAGGCCATTAGTGGGTCGTCTGTTAAACACATTTTTCATCTCGATTTCTAAATGTTCAAGTAAGGATATCTACTGCGAGGCTAAAGGTAATGCAGAAATAATGCTGCACAATAATCGCGAGAAACAGTGCAAAGTGTATCGAAAAGAAATACAAGTTATGTGAAGACATCGGATCTATTGCGAAAAAGTTTAGTGCAGTAACAATGCAAACAAGGAGAGAAAAAAATACACAGTGTAGAAGTAGCAACCACAACGAGAAGACGCAATGAGTGCGCAAAATGCTGTTATTATGGAATTATTTCCTCACCGCTATTTAGGATTTTCAAGACGAAAATTTAAGCAACAAAATACCTGGTGTGTGTTAAAAAGACAAAATGAAACAACAAATTAAGAAACTATCTGAGCAGGCTGGTCAGGGAAACTCCTAAAGCTGAGTTTCTTGTAAGCAACCATTTTTACCCCAATCATTTGGCATTAACTGTTACATGGAATGAAAACCCTGAAAACATTTGAGATAATGATCCCACTCACTGGAGTAATCAAAACAGCATTTAACACCAGACAACCGAGATAGAAAACAGTCTGATATACGACTCATAAAAGACAAGAATACAGCACATAAGGCAGCGCGAGCGCCTTTAAACCATTTTAGCCTTTCCACCAGCAAAATTTTACAGTGTCTGACAACAAGACTTACCTGACTGACATAAGACTCAGAACGGCTAAGACATCCTGTATGTCTTCGAAATGAAAGCACACTAACTTTAGACAACCACTGTTTTAATTCCCCATATTCCATGTAGAATTGCGCTAATAATTTTGAGTGTGGATGAAGAGGTGCATCCTTAAAACGATCTTCCGCACGAACTACCCTCTATATATAAAGAATGAATTACAGGTTACTTTAAAAAATAACAATCACCTGATATTCATCTATTAAATTGTAGCACTCATCACGTAGATCAAAAAATGACTGTGTTAGTAAAATGGGGGAATCAGAATGTGACACCATTGAAGTAAACCAGACTATGCAGACTCAAACAATAACGAACTTTCAAATTCTGTAATCCTTTTTATGTAACAGCCACGAAGACTATGCGAATTCGGTGAAAAACAAGAATATATCACTCAGAAATTCATTGAGAAATTTTACACAAACAGTTTGTAATAGGCACCCTAGGAATAGCTTGACCACGGTAACTTCCCTAATGGTGGCGAAAAATTTCGAGAGAGCGCGTCTTCTATGGTGTTTGAGATACCGCACCAAACAACAAGCCTCATATAGTGTAGTCATCCGACCAGGAATTCTTTCAACATCGCTTCTGTTTTATTAAGATATGACCTGTGTGTGGGAAATACTGAAATAAATGCAAAATATACGATTCTGATGTACAAGTTTTCAAAAAATACATATGCACCGTGGAAAATGAAGCAATAGCTAGGTAAGAGCTTTTATTTCAACCTTGCTGTTTGTCCTCAGCCTGAAAGATGCATGAATATTCTGTTATGAGGTTTCAAAATCTGTCAAACTGATACATTAGCTGCGATGATATCAGACCATCCGTTCTGAGACAGTGTGACGAAGCTCTCTTTAGGCCCCTACTTGTTCCAACACTCGATAGATTCAAGAAACTGCCAAGAGAGTGGAAAAAAGCCATCCTTTCTCCGATTTTCAAGGGTGGAGACAGGCAAAATGCCATCAGTTATACACCAGTAGTATCAAAAGTACGGGAAATTATAACTGATTGCATCGGGGAACACCTTGACAGGACTAATAAACTCCATTAGGTACAACATGCTTGCAGGAGATGAGGATCCTGTGCAAAAAATCTACTGTCGGCTTGGAATGATTGGACATCACCATGGGATATGAATGTTCCAATCCATGTGGTCTTCCTAGACTTTTAGAAGGCATTTGATACAGTTTATCATGACCTCGTACACAACGTTAGTCGGGCAGAAACAGGTGATCCTCTCCTGTCATGGTTAAATGACTACCTAGTTGAAAGTAAATTCTGCACTGAGGTCAATCGGACCCAACCATCTTGAAACAGCTCGTCATCAGGAGTGCCGCAGGGTTCTATCCTAGGGCCACTGGATACTTTGGTTTTCATCAGTGAAGTACCATGTCATCCAAAATGTCCGACCCTTCCGTACGCCGACTACCTAAAGATCTGGAGGACAATAAAGCGTTCGGAATATTCAGATAGGCTGCAGGCAAACCTAACGCTTCTTGAAGACTGGGTGCAAAGTTGTGAAATTACTCCCCTGTAGGCTGCAGAATGCGAGTTATCCTTGTGCAGCGAAAGTTTGTCCTGCACAACGTTGGAGCGTGACTTAGGTCCAGTTCTAACTTAAAAACGGACAAAAACGTGAATTACACAAAGGATGTAGCGAGGGTATATGCGGTCATACACTTTACACATAGGCGGTTAGGCACACTCACTCCTGGGCTCTTTCTAAGGCTGAACAAAACACATGTCAGACCACACATTGAAGTGCATAATATCATTGCACCTCCTCTGCTCAAAACAGAGACTAACCTTTTGGAAATGGTCCAAAGACGGGTGACTAAAGGAGAGATGGGTTTCCAAAGCAAACCATACGATGAACAGTTAATAATCTTCACACTTACCTGCCGTCGGCTTAAGGGGGGATCTAATTACTGTCTACAAGATAACAAATTACTAGAATCACCCAAACGAAGTATTCTGCCATCGAACAGTTATGGGCTTCCTCGTGGGAATCAACGAAGTATAGCTCATCAGACGGCAAAGATTTGACTGCGCTCCCACTTCTTTTCATTGCAGGTTTGCCGTCCATGGAAATCCCTGCAGGCAGATGTAGCTGCGGGATCGGCTGTGGACAGCTTTAGACTAGACTGTCATGCAGCGGCACAAATACTACTTTCAAATAGCCAATCCCTTGGAAATCACGTACGCTATTAGCGGGTAGACATCGTCCTTTCGATTCTTTACTTCCTCTCATGTCTTACTCTCCTGACTTCTCCGATTAAAACACACGTCTACTAATATTACTATCGTTATATACATATATTTATATATGCGTATTGACATAAATCAACTTCAAAATTAATTGGCCATCTGTTTTTAATTTTTCTTCATCTCTTTGTCTGGCTTTCAGGTGGAATAAGCTACACTAATTATATCTGTTACTACTGCCATCTCTATCCTTTTGACGGCGACATCGGGGGTCTGGTTGGTGGAGGGATCAACACCATTCACAGTAGTACAAAAGCCTTAACACATCGCATAATACAGATGTGAGAAAACTCCCATAAACTGTCAATGTCCAGCTCTTGCTACGCTGGACTTCACACTGTCCCTCGAATACTTTCAGAAACACTTTGTATTAACCAACGCGAAAACCGGAACACTGATTGGAGACTCAAGAATCCTTCATTCTTACGCCAACATGTAACCAACAATAAGGTTATTACACAAGGTCATGAACTCAAGTTTATTGTACAATGACTATGATAATATTGGTGCACATGAAAAGAAGAAAGCTATTGGTCAGTTTAGTAAGGATAAGCCAAGTGTGTACGACAGGGTAATTGTTTAATTGACATGCATGAATAAAGGTTTCTCAGGGTCCAAGTTACTATTTGAATGCTATTATCTTTGGTGTAAATTACTCTGTACCCAAGCCTGGTTGGCCAGATACATCGTGTGTTTGTCAGTTATCTATATTCTACGGTACAATGACATGAACGTGCTAGCATTCAAAGTTGAGGATATAGACGATAGAAGAAGGTAAGCAAATGAACTCTGCAACGGTTTTCCAACCTAGGGCGTCAAACCGAGAAGGGTTGCAGGCGTACTGGTGTAAGTCCTGTGATTCTTCAAAGGAATTCCATCAAGACATGAACTGCGAGTTTGTGTGTACTGTTTGTATATACGTGTGGTGTGTCATATCAATTGGTGTTTTTGGATTCATTGTGTTTACTCGTTGTTTTCGTACCTTGTTGTTATTACATAATTTTGTTAAAATTTTCGTCGTGATTACTTCTGAAGTTGTGTCCACTCTTCTACATCCGTGAATGAAGTGATTGATGTTAAAGACAGCAGATGGGTCGTATACGCCGGGGAGGCTATTGCTGAGAAGGAAATGCATACGGAGATAATTGTTAGCTGTGATCCCACACGCCGGGGAGAGGGAGTGTAGACGACTGAGGCTCGCATACGTCACCATTACTAGAATTGAGGCAGAATGAGTGACAAGCGGTTGCAGTGGTAATTGGTAGTGAGTAAATAAGAGGATGTGTGAAGAGTATCATGAGGTGCTGATATGGCTACGTTGCTTTCTGCAAGAGTCATTCTAGCAAGTGGCGATTGTGTTGCAGGATGTCAAGAGGATGCCTTTAACTGGAAGGCGCAGGTCGTCATTGATGTGTGAGATTGTGCTGTGAGTATGCTTGTGGTGTGTTGGCTTTTCTGTTTGTTTTCCATTTCAGCTCTGTCCGTGTGACCCAGGTTGTCGCAATGGCATCCAAGTCAACGTGTATTGGTCGTGATGGAAAAAAGTAATGGATCCCTATTTTGGCGGGGAGTGTCAATGTAGTTGAAGATTGAACGATCAATTCATGGTTGTTTGCTCAAAACCAACTCCTCCATATTTTTCGCGGGAGTCATCGATAGTGTGGTCATCGTCTCATCGTTCGCTGTTCAGGGAAGTTAAAAAACTATCAGAAGTATTACCATGATTTATTGTCATTACATTTAAACTTAGACCTTGTGTAATAACCTTATTGTTTGTTACATGTTGGCTTAAGAATGAAGGATTCTTGAGTCTCCAATCAGTGTTCCAGTTTTCGCGTTGGTTAATACAAAGTGTTTCTGAAAGTATTCGAGGGACAGTGTGAAGTCCAGCGTAGCAAGAGCTGGACATTGACAGTTTATGAGACTTGACTTACAGTAAGTTTTTTATAGATTTCAATTTAATTAGCATTTACATGATTGACATACCGCTTGTACAATCATGAACATATTTTATAAGTGCAGTTTCAAATGTAACAATGTTTTATGACATTAGAAACTGGAAAAATCGAGAAAATTCATTAGAAACTTTATAAGAATGGATTACAAGACTTTGGTTTAAGTCTAATTTATAATCTGTAATACACTTATAATGTGCCAAATTCATGCGGGAATTACGAAATTTCGCGTTAATGAAAGGTAAGTAGAGAGGTGATATACAGGTGCTAGAGTAATACACACAGGATACAGACCTTGTGACCATTATCATTTTACCAATCAGTAAGTTCGAAAATTTATACAACTGAACATTAGATGGTAAGTGCAACATTATTTTAGTATTAGCAGATATAAGGGACCAACTTTGCAATGTTAAACAGGTTGGAGACTTTGGTAGGAGTTCTTATTTGACCTATGCTTGTACAAGCATTGGATTTGATTAACAACTTCGTGTTGACTAGTCTCTGCTTGTTCGCCCCCCGATAGGAAGCCGAAATTAGTGATACGGGTTCAGAAGAGTTAACATCCCCACCAGTTGTTTGGTTAGCGCTGACAGGGATTTGGTGAACAAAAAATCATTGGTACGCTGTGATGCCCGTGACTTATTAATCTGCCTATTGTTTGGGGACGTTCTAAGGGACCCTACATGTGTTTCGTTATATGCATCGCTGCATTGTGGTTTGATTCTCAGAACACTCGTTCCGTGTTTTCTGTCAAAGTTTGTCTGTCTGTCACACTTTGAAGACTAAGAGTGGTCGATGGCTGAGTTCTTAGTGTTGTCACTTGTACTATTTTGCGTGATAATGTCACTACACCAGCCACTAGCGTGACCTGGCGCAGTATGCGAGCAAGCTTTGTCGTTATTGTCTGTGGACCCTATGGTCTTGTTTGTGGTTTTAATTTGGTTGCTAGATTAGTTGTGAATGCTGTAGGTCATTTCCACTCAGCCTTCCCAAGAGATACTCGAAAAGGTTGAGGAATATCATGTTCAGTCTTCAGCTCCCAGCCTGACTCA